TTGCCTCAAGTAGATGTTCGATGAAACGAATTACTTATTTACATTTGCTGAAATGAAGATGTTTTGTTTTGCCCTGTTGGTTTTTGAAGGGGATCTATCAGTACTGGAGATGTCTTTTTTTTTTTAAAGAGACCTTAAGCAAATGGAGGATTGATGGTTGTCAAAACCATTTGGACCCCTCCAAAGTTTGAAATTTCATGTTGGGTAATAACCCTGCGATACCATCCTCAAAGGTGTTCCCAGGCCTGGCAAAAAGGCAAAAAGCCAAGCATCATTATGACCGCCGATCAGGCCCTTCCCTGCGAATAACTTGAATTGCTCGGACCATGTCGCAGATGAGGACTAATGCCTGCCCTGCTGGTTTCATTTTGTTGAACTTGCCTCGGACTGTTGCGAAGGGAGGCAGATGCGATGCCACAGTGGGTAACTTGCATATGTGCTGGAGCGAGCACGGCAGGTTTGCAGTTGCGTGGACGGACCACTGCCCATTCTCTTGGGAGTTTTGACGAAAGCAAGCAGTTTGGTGATGGAGCAAGGTGAGTCAGAGTGTCAGGGACGGCTTTCTTGCCCTTGGAGGCTTTAGCAGTCGGACTTACAGTATGGAACCTTGTGCTTCAGGTCGTTTGCCTGGATTCCTTACGTATCCTTCACATTGCCAAAACCTCCCAGGGTTTTCTGCTTATCGCATGCCGAGCCCTATCCTGTATCCTGCACTGTGTAACGATTTTCTGAGCTTTCCGGATCCCAACGAATTCCCGCGCCGAGGTCCACATCATTGCAGTGGTGGCAATTTGTGTAGGCGTGGCTCGAGTCGGTTCTCCAACTTGCGGTGAATTGGCCCAAATAAAAGGCGAGAGTTGACCACCAAAAGGGGAACAAAGCTTCACCGTTGTGGCCATGCTGTTAGGTTTTTTAGCTTGTTTGGCATGTTTATTCTTAGCAGGGGGCCTCAAAAACACCTGTTTTTGCCACCAAACCAAGGCTTAGAAAGATAGTGAGACCCCTGCTATAATGATCAAAGGGTTGCCAAGACAAGCGGCGCTCCACGCAGTGCCGAGAAGTTCAGGCTAGTCGCCAGTCTCTGATTGTGATGTGACTGTGGGTCAAAACCCTGTACCCTGGTGAACATCAAAAAATAGGTGGCAAATAAATGTGTTCATCCACCCCAAAATGGCTCGCCATAGGTTATGCCCTATGGCCATGTGCCTTCATCATGAGGCTCACAGATTTGTTTTTCCAGGCCCCGGAAAGGGCACGGGAGAAGGTATGACGGAGTCCATCCCTGAGGTTGTCTATGACCCATTGAGTCACAAGACAGATCAGACCCCTTGAAGCAGTAAGAGATGCTAACCAGCGGTCCGGGGGTCCCTTTTTGGATTGCAGGGCAAGAGATGAGCATCGCACAAGTGAAGAGATCCTATACTGATGACTGCTTAACCCGCTGGCCTGTGACTCGCTGAGACCTGGAGCTGACTGCCATCTGTGTCGATTGGCAACTCATTACACTTGGAGTTCAACATGTGTGGGCAAACTATGGCGCCATGCTTATTTTGAAAAAAAAACAGAACTATGTCCTCAGCGTTGCTTCAGGTTGTTGTTGTTTTGCGCGAGGGGGGGGAGGGGAATCATCGATTTGTGCCACAATAAGATATTGTGCCAACCAACTGCATGCCCCCCACTCGAAGCTGGTGGTGTGCAGGCTGTTGCTTCTCCTGGACATGCCCTTTGAAACATTGGGCGCAACGCAAACTTCAGCGATGGTTGTTAGCATTGGTTCTCATTGGAGCGCAAGATGCGTAGCACTGGCTTTAAGAGTAGTTCGCACATCCAAGTTCAGAACCTCCAGGCATGATGCAAAACCCGTCCTTATCACAGGCGCGACAACCTGCGCGGTGCAGGCAAGAATCGGCTGCCCTGAGCCAAACACGCCCGGCCCATGGTGCAACTTGCTCCGCGCGCATACGCCGTGCGCGCTCGCTTTGCACCCCTATGGCTCCATTGCTTTTCAAGCAGAATGCACTACCCAAGTTCCAAGGCGTAGAACTCACTGCAATTTTCGTGAAGACCATCCACCGGTGGGCAAACAAACACTTAGGACTTTTTCTGGCCACTCAGGCGGTGCGACGAAGGCTTGCTTTGTGGAGTTTCTGTCAACTCCGCAAAAGGGCTACTTAACACCGAGGCTTCGTTCACAAGAAATTTCCGCGCAACGCACATCCAGATGTCAGGGACTGTGGAATGCTCCAGTTCGGGTGAAGGTTCAAAGGGGATTCTAGCGCGAACACGCTCGCGAAGGGAGCCCATTGAAACGAGAGACACGCACCCAGAAAGCGAACCCTAGTTGTTGTTTCTTTCTCGGAGCTTAAAAATATGAGGCATTTCATCCCAAAAGATCTCAAACAGGGTCCTGGGACTCTATTTGCAAGAACCAACCTGAGCAAAAAGCACAAGTTACATTTCTTCAGAAGTTCAAAGTCCTCAAAAAGGTTTCAGCGGTTTGGGTTCAACGCCCTTATATATAGGTTTCACCTGTTTGGGTTCAAAGCCCTTATAGGTTTCACCAACCTGAATCAACACAACTTGCATTTCTTTATAGGAGTTGAACGTCCTTTAAAAAAAACAATGGGTTTCAGCATTTCTTTCTATAGGTTTCAGCGGTTGTTGGGCAGAACTTGTTGTGAACCCAAGCAACTGAAACCTACAAGGGCTTTGAACCAGATGAAACCTATTTCAGGGCTTTGAACCCAAACAGCTGAAACCTTTTTGAGGGCTAGCAGTTTGCCTTGGCTGGAGGCCTGCTGAGTTTGCTGGCGAACCTGCTGTCCCCCGTGAAGCGCGGGCCTGCGGAGATCCTGCAGAACAGCGCCGCCGCGCTCTTCGCGCAGGCCGGGGTTTGGGAGGTCGCGTCGGTGGGTGGGCCGGGTGGGGTGGGGAAGGGCGGGCTGCGGGATCTGAGGGCCTTTTGATGGCGCACAAGGAAACCACAAGGGAAAGGCACCTGGAGTCTTCTTCCGACTCTTTAACAATGGGTCCATGACCCTATTAAACATGGGGTAGTGGGCCCCATTTTTAAAGGAGATTTCGCTTCGAACAACGAGCGTTGCGCGTGGCTTCAGGTGCCAGAAGGACTGCTTCCTACCGTGACCATCTCACTGATGATCGCTTCGGACCAGATGGCGAGCCGCAACGCGCCTCGCCAAAATCTGAGGTGATCGGTTCTCAGTTGTTCAGTGGCACCCGTTTTTCCTTTTTTTTGGTGGCTGCCCCACTAAAAATGGTCTTCCCCAAAAAGGGTTCCCTTTTTTTCCCAGGGTCACTGAACAACGGAGGATTGGAGGGAAAGAACCGCATCTAGTTCCCTCAGTAGTGCCCTTTTACCGTAACTTTTTGGGGGAGATTCGGTCCCCCTGCTAAAATAGACTGCAGAAAAAAGTTGGTACTGTACCCAAGCTCTATCCTCTCTACTGGAGGACCTTGGTGCAAACTTTGAAGCCCATTTCTGGGTTTCCGTTATTAGAACAATCACGTAGCACACGGCATCCCAATTGTGGACGTCCCGCGCATGTCCTGTTTGACACCTACTCTAACTGTACGTATTGGTTGAGTAGGCTAGCTAAGCGATTGCTTTTCACAAACGCTTGGAAAGTGTTTGATTGAAGCTGTTTGCCAATCACAGTTCAATTCATGCTCAGGTTGCCACATCCTCCGCTGTTCAGTGTATTTCAGTGTCCTGTGATTTTGTTTCGCGCAGGTCAGGCATCATGCATTGGTGATTGTTTGATTTGAGACGTCTCCTGCTTGCAAACAGCAAAGCTGTGCATGCCCATCAAGAAACCTTGTCTATCTTCCAAAGCCTCATAGGGTTTAGGTTCATCTCGAGCTATTTATTCATTTTTGTTTTTGCATAGTTTCAACAGGAAATGCATTCTCGAGAGCCTATAGATGGGAGATGCAAGCAAGCAAGGGTCCAGTCAAGGTGATGCTGTCAGCGTCTCAATTTCAGCTCCTTTCTGAAAGCAGGAAGGTCTATGCCTTTGTCCAGGATCCCAAGTTGTTTTCCTTGCTAGTGTTTGGCCGGGAATGAGGGAACCACTCCTGTAAACCATCCCCTATGGTTTGCTTTAAGGGATTCCCCAGGTTCATTCCATTTCTCATTCCCTACTTATAGCACCGGCAAGTTTCTACGATGGGTTGCCGAACGGTCAGGTCATTGTCCGCAAGATTGACGCGGTGGAAACCTTGGGATGTGTCTCTGTCTTCTGCTCGGACAAGACAGGCACGTCGAAGGTGAAGTGGCGACGCATGGGTTCTAAAGGGGTCCTCACTTCCAGAGTTCCATTTCGGACTTTGAAATGGGAAGACCATTTTAGTGGTAAACAAAAAGGTTGGACTTTGTCTTGTCCATCAACTCAGGAAGTCTAGTTCCTTTCGGATGCTACACACATGACATTCTTTTGTGCAACCTCGAACCCGGTGATTGAAAGCAATATTTTTGCAAGGTTTGGTCTTCCAGGAACCCAGCAGCATCCAGAAGCTGACGTCGTCCTTTTGTTCTTTCCGCAGCTAGAGCAAGTGCCGAAAGGAGCCTGATTGTGCTGTTGACCAAGGTGAATGGTGCGCCAGCTGATAGATTCGGTTTGGCTAGCGTGCAGCGTGTCAGGTTTCGGGCCGTAGGTTTGCTGCGCCGCAAATTGGCCATGTGCGCAGCTTGGTGAGAGGACAACCACCCATGGGTGTTCCATACACATATAGAAAAGGAAGATATGATATACATATATATAGACATATACTTTAGATCTCTATATTATAAGGAGAGAGAGAGAGAGCAAAGTACATACCCTATTTTTGGGCATGTCACCAAGACGGAGCCCTTCAAACCGGATGGTTTTGTGGTTCTTTCCTTTAATCACCTAGAGACTGCATCCCAATCGCTAAGGGAAACTCAAGGGGAGCCGTTCCTTGGAGGTTCCTCCCATCGGACGTCCCGCGTTGCCGTTTCTCTCAAGACCCTCTTGTGCCGGCGCGAGCGCGCGCGCGTGTGCGCGCTAAGACGCGCCGGACGGGGCTCCGGCGCCATGAGCGGCATGCTACGAGGCTGGTGACGTTTCCGTGGTTTGTTCTGTTCCAATTCGGGGGTGTTCACAAGTATTGTTTAAGAAGGAGTTGGAGCGCGACACTATTAGGGGATATGATGTGCAAAAAGGGAGGATTTAGCTGGTCATTTTTGGAACACCGCGTGCCCTTTTGGGGTTCCTTCATTCTCTTCTTCAACAGCAAAATGGTTTTTCCCGAATGCCGTTAAACGATGGCAAAATCGGCACTTAGGAACGCGCCCGTTTCACCGGCAAAACGGGGAGGCCAGCCCTTGACCTTGCGAATAGGCTGCTGGGTGTTGCCAGTGAAAGCTGGGGCTTCTCAGAATGGTTGTTGGCTTTCAACCACTTCAGGGATACGGTTGTCGCTGTTCGTAGATCATGCCAAACAGGGTTCCATACCCCACGTCACGCTACTTTTTCCCCCTTGCAAATTGTTTTAGAGTGAAACGACTGCTTGGGGAGGGGCGTTGATGTCCGTTGAAGAAAAAAACGCGGACTTTAGCAGCATGTTCGAGTGGTCAACAATCACTCAGTTGTTCAGTGGCACCCTTTTTCCTTCTTTTTTTGGTGGCTGCCCCACTAAAAATGGTCTTCCCCAAAAAGGGTTCCCTTTTTTCCCCAGATTCACTGAACAACTGAGATCACAGTCACAATGGAAGGACAATTTACCTTGAAGACAGGGACCCGTAACCCCGTACATGTTTCCTTGTGAAGGGAAACAAATGGATGCATGTAGGGGGTCCTCTCCGCAGTTCCTCGGAAAGGATTTTTGTTTTTTTTGACAACTGGCCATGGGTCAAAATCCAAATCGTACTCCCAGTGAACATCCCAATCCCAGCTAAAATAGACTAAGATGGGTGGTGCACCTACCCCAGAATGGTACCATTGGTTTTGACCCACAGCCAACTGGATTCTTGATCGTCAAAGACGCTCTTTGCGCGAAGCTCCCTGATGACTCCCCCGGCTGTCATAGACCCATTTCACTCCCAAGATCTGTCACGGCTTCTCCGAGAGATCGGGCCACACAATTGATATGATGGCGGTGTAAGTATTCTGAACAAAGTCCAAATGTGGTGTTTTCAAGTCGCTGTGCCCTTCCTCGGCTGACAGAAAATTACTTGCCAAAAGGCTGCAGCATAGATGAGCAACTCTGTCTGGCCCTAAAAAGCCGAAACGTACGCAGCAGGTGTGCAACCAATATTCTCTAGGCTTTTTTGGTAATTAGAGCAATTTTCGGAAGTCTGTGCAACGTGTAGACAAGCAAACATGTCTTCGTGAGAGCATGGTCAATGCATCCCACCGATTTCGCGCACCGTAAGATCACGGTCGAACAATTTGCGCGGACGCTCCTCACAGCCTCGAAGGGCGTCTGTAATTCGAAGCTGAGGAGCTTTGCTAGCCCCAGACGGCCTAGCTCTACAATTTCCAGCGTCTCCCCCGCCTTCCGCCCGGCAAACCCAAAAGGTGTGCTGCCAGGAGCGGTTTTTTTGTTTTGAGACTGCGTCAATGAAAAAGTGGCGGCTGGCTCGCTGAATCTGACCACTCTGAGAACTCGCGTGGGGAAAAACACGTGTCTTCCGTGTGCCCGGAGTTTCCTTCAAACGCGGTGGCATATCGATTCCACGAGCAGAGATTCCGCTGGCAGGCGTTGCGAATTTGACATGGCAGCGAGCGTTGGTTAAATACAGAACAATGAAAATGCTCCTACTCAAAAACATAGTGAAAGCGAATTTCGAAGGAACACGCGCGGGGAGATCTGAAAGAAGAAATAGTCGAGGGCGCGCAAGCTGAAATTGACTGGCCCTGCCCGTGATTTGAGCACATGGTGTAAAGTGGACGAGGTTGCGACTCGAAAATCTCGGGCGCCAGATGTCTCTGCGTGTGAATCTTGCAAACAAAGACCAGCCAACTCCATGGCAATGCCATGCAAAATCGCGGATTCCCTGGTTCCCTTACTTGCAATACGGGATGGCAACGTGCCTAGGGGCTCAGAGTAAAACTGTCTTTCACATTGTATAAATGCTATGTAACCACTATATACTCACCTTTTTTGAGGTATGTGATTTCGGGGTATGTAGAAAAACCCTTAGCCTTAGATAAGACTCAGCGGCCAGGGCTCCGGAATACCCTGAGCAAGAGCAAGTCGAACACGGGCCTGGCGGCGGGCAGCGGCGCACAGGCGGCCTCTGTGATCAACTCACAGCCGCCCCGGCCCAAGTGGATGGAGCGCCGGAACTCTCAAGTCTTTGCGGCTTCCAGCCATCCGGTTCCTTAGCCTTTTAGCTTTTTAGTGCTTAGTGGCCAGCTCAAATCCTTTAACCCACTAAAAGTTAAACTTTAAGCGGGGGATCTGAGGGCAGCCCAGAAGTGGGTGTGCTCTGTGCCTTTGAGAAGTTCTCAGAGCCCGGGGAGGAAAAAAACAACAAACCAAAGAGTTGCTTTCCAAATGGCAACCAAGCTGTCGGATTGCGATGAGATCTTAAGTCGTTGGTTTGGTATGTGTTGATGGCAGCCTGGTAGCTCTGTGGAGATTAGCAGTGACAGTATTACGTCATTGCGCTCCAAGCTTTCCTGCAGCTTCAAACGACTAGAAAAAAGTAGGTGTTTTGGTCATTGTATTGCTTTTGCCTGTTTCGTATCGTATTTACCGCAAAACGACTAAGACGCCTAGAAATTTGAATTATTGGGTGTTTCCTTCTTGCACAGGGCTTTCTCTCTCATTCAGCTTGATGTTGCCCACTACACCAGATGTTCGAATCTTCAGAAACTTCTAAACACTTCGAATCCTTCCCTCCATCAACACCCTTCAATCCTAGCTGTGCGGGGGAGTGGTGCGCAAATCGGAGCAAGTTTTGTCTAAACATGCTTCGAGTGAGAAACGCACTTTGTTCGTACCACTTTTGGCCGCAAAACGAGCGCAAAAACCCGCAACACGCCCGCAAAAACCCGCAAACGAGCGCAAATCCCAAAAAGTGGGTCAATTGGTTGTTTCATGCACTGCCCGCTCAAAAGCATGCCCTGATTGGGCACCGATGTAGGGTCATGCTTGCAACGGGAAATGCAAGCACTGAGAAAGGAAACTATATATTGATATGTTGTTGGCTCAAATATCCTCCCAAACGGCCAGCAGCACGTTAGACGCCGGCCTTCGTACTAGTTTTCCAGCGGTTCGTACTAGAACCCCCAGTTTTCCTCCAATCGTACCCATTACCCAAAACGCCCAGAAATTTCTGGGTGTTTGAATCTCCAGGTTGTATTCATGGGGTAAGTAAGGCTCATGGCTTTTTGTCATTCAGACTGAGCCTTTGAGGCCTCTGTTTGCTCGTCGCGCGTCGGCATCGATGTACGGCGGCGTTGTGCTGGTAATAATACCAGTCGGCGAGCCTTTCGGCAAGTTTTGCCGCCAGACACAGGAAGGGGGCGTCTAGATCTCGAGGGTAGGTGTCAGAAATCAGGAAACGCTTTTGAATTGTTCATGAAAGAAGGCCTATCCGGCACATGCTCCATTTACCCGGGTTGTGACTTGAACATGCAGCCGGGTGTCTCGTTGCGCCCAGGTCTGCATCGAACCAGCCAGAGCACCAAAGCGCGGGCGAGAGCGCATCTCAGCCAATCCCAAAGGCTGCATCACCCCCGCCCTCAGCACAATCACGTCAGGACGGGGCTTTCATTGCGCGTAATCAGGTCGAACGAAGGAAAGGTGTACCCCTTCCAAGTACATGGGGTCACGGAAGGCATCCAAAGGAACTTGGCACCTGGAGTACCAACTTTCGAAAGTTGGCCTCAGGAGTTGGTGCCACTCAATCCAACCATGGCGGATTGGACCTTCGAGGAGCAGTGGAGCTACGTGGAGTCTTTGGGCATTGTGAAACAGCCTGGGGAGGAGCGGTGATCAGCTGCAAGATGCCAAGTGGGTTTGTGTTTTCAGGGTAGCTACCCTTTTACCTTGGTTTGAGGCAAACCAAAGGGAAAACTGCGTCCCCCTATTTTGACACCAACCCAAGTAGTTTCAATCTCGATGTGCTCAATATGTGCAAACGGACAGGTGTGTAGGCGTGTTAGTGCTTGATGCCAGCTCAGGCTGACTTCTAGCTGCTCTTTCGATTGTATCTATAAGCCTACATATGGCCTCCTTCGAATGGCATGCTTTCGGCATATTTCAAGCTTTGAGGCAAGTCGTGTCTCAAGCTATGTGCAGGCAGCCCACCCATTGCCTTGACTGGGATGGCTGTCATGAACAGGGGCCAACCTGCCTTGTTCCTCATGAGCCGGTGACTCTCTCGGTAGGCATGTTGTTTCGTGTTTGTATCTTGGCAAGCCGATGCAGACTTAATTGAGGCAATATTCCTTCAATGTTCTCGAGTATGTAACAGCCGCCCCCTTCAATTAAACCATGAAGTACGGAAATATTGGATTTGCCAGCCCTTGAGTCCACAACTTGATGCCCGCCATCCCGGCCGGATGAGTTGATTCTCGTTCTTTTCTCATTCGGTGCGCTCTGAGGGAACTCCCGCACTTCAGGCAGACCACAGTCACTAAGTTTCCATCTCAGTTGGTAAATCTCAGCTGGTTTGTTCAATCTCAGTTGGCTTTGTTCGCCTATAAAAATGGGAGCTCTTTCGATCTCAGTTGGTTTGTTCAATCTCAGTTGGCTTTATTCGCCTATAAAAATGGGAGCTCTTTCGATCTCAGTTGGTTTGTTTAATCTCAGTTGGCTTTGTCGCCTATAAAAATGGGAGCTCTTTCGATCTCAGTTGGTTTGTTCAATCTCAGTTGGCTTTGTTCGCCTATGAAAATGGGAGCTCTTTCGATCTCAGTTAGTTTGTTCAACCTCAGTTGGCTTTGTTAGCCTGTAGAAAATTGAGCTCTTTCGATCTCAGTTGGTTTGTTCAATCTCAGTTGGCTTTGTTCGCCTATAAACATGGGAGCTCTTTCGATCTCAGTTGGTTTGTTTAATCTCAGTTGGCTTTGTCGCCTATAAAATTGGGAGCTCTTTCGATCTCAGTTGGTTTGTTCAATCTCAGTTGGCTTTGTTCGCCTATGAAAATGGGAGCTCTTTCGATCTCAGTTAGTTTGTTCAATCTCAGTTGGCTTTGTTCGCCTATAAACAATGGGAGCTCTTTCGATCTCAGTTAGTTTGTTCAATTTCAGTTGGCTTTGTTAGCCTGTAAAATGGGAGCTCTTTCGATCTCAGTTGGTTTGTTCAATCTCAGTTGGCTTTGTTCGCCTATTCTCAGTTGTTCAGTGGCACCATTTTGTTTTCCCCTTTTTGTTTGGTGGCTGCCCCACTAAAAATGGTTCAAGCCCCAAAAAGGGTTCCTTTTTTTCCAGGGTCACTGAACAACTGAGTATTTTATGGGAGCCTATTCCCGACAGGAGCACATCATCCGCTTTCTGGCGGATGGGCTGAATGCCTCTCCGATGCCAGCCCCGTGGACGCTGCACCGAGACGAAGAGAAGCGGATCTTCTACGGCAACACCTCCACCGGTGAGACGACCTGGGCCCATCCACTAGAGGACAGGTTGGCTCAGTTGTTGTTGGTTTGTTGGTTTTGTTGGTTTGTGGTTGGGTGGGTTGGTTTGGTTTGGCCTGGCTTGGTTGGTTTGGTGGTTTTGTTGGTTTGTAGTGGTTGGGTGGGTTGGTTTGGCCCGGGCGGAAGGTCGAAACAGGTCAGCAAAGCACCCTCTGCCTGCCAGCCCCTGGGGGCTTCTCACCCTCCCTGCAAAAGGACAATTAAACACCCTGCAAGGTCCAGAAAGCACCCAGTCCTGGTTGGTTTGGTTTGGCCTGGCTTGGTTGGTTTGTGGGTGGTTTTGTTGGTTTGTAGTGGTTCGGTGGGTTGGTTTGGTTTGGCCTGGCTTGGCTGGCTTTGGGTGGATGGGTGCGTGGGTGGGGATGGGCGGGTGTGGGTGGGTTGTGTCCCGTCTATTCCGGGGTCTTACATTTGAAGCTTGAGGGCAGAACTCGCGCTGAAAATCTGAAGTTGGGTGGTGAGAGTTGGGCCGAGCCATGGTCAACGGCGGGGGGGGGGGTCTTTTGTCTTGCCATTTTTTTTGTCCAGCCGACTGGCCAATGCTACTTTGCAGGCACCAGGTTTGGCCAAAGACTCTGAATATTTGTTTGGCACTTCGCAGAACCCCCCTCTGATGAAAGACTTTCATGTGCGGCCCAAAGGCCAAAATTGCCAAAGTTGTGATTGTAAATCACCAACGCTATTGCCAATACTTTTGCCAATACTAACTCCTTTCAAAGTCTCAAGGGTTGCCATTCCAGAAATTAAAAAGAACAGCTGGTCGGAAACTGCCAATTTCTTATTACAATTTGCTTAACAGCGGAAGGTCTGACAAGCTCGTAAAGGGTAATTTCCCCCCCCCCCCTCCAGCCACCCCCCCCACGAGTAACACACCCTCTCTGATGCATCCTGGCCGATTCCAGACGGCACAGGTACCTGGAGTCTCCTTCTGAGATAGGTCCATGCCCCCATTCTTTCGGGTAATGACCCCATGACCCCATTAATAATGGGGTCATGGGCCTATATTCAAAGGGTCATGGAGACTCCCGGGTAATGACCAACCATTTTTGAAGGGTCCTGGAGACTCCAGGTAGATTCGCCCCAGTGCGCAAAGCTCGCTCGCACAATCCGCAGGACGTGGTCCGGGAGCTGTCCGGGGTGTGCCGTGTTTGCGTGTCCATGTCCCGTGCCATGCGGGAACAGGCCTTAGCCGACCTCAGGATCGGCTGGGAAGCGCAGGCGCGGCTCGCGCGCGAACGCGCGTTGGGAGACCCAAGAGACTAGGGGGTGGTTGGAAGGGAGCCGTTGGGGAGCTGGGGGTAGCTACATGTTTGCGTTTGAAGAGGGAGCCTCTTCTTAAGCTACCAGGAGGTCTGTAAGCACATGGTAGGAGATGTGGGTCCAGAAACTTGGCACAAAAACCAATGGTTGAAGGCAGGGTCCAACAAGAAGGCCGCAGGATTGAAAAGGGGTCATGTTTTCCCACTCAACATGGAGCTCGCTGGAAGGTCCCTGGATCATGTTTTTGCCGGCCTCGAGTCAAGTTGCATGTTTGTGGGTGGGTACCCTGTGTCAATCATGGAAGTGGACAAAAGGGCCTTTCTGAGACCGCAGCCTATCAATCAATCAATCAATCAATCAATCAATCAATCAATCTATCTATCTATCTATCTATCTATCTATCTATCTATCTATCTATCGAATCTATCTATCTATCTATCTATCTATCTATCTATCTATCTATCTATCTATCTATCTATCTATCTATCTATCTATCTATCTATCTATCTATCTATCTATCTATCTATCTATCTATCTATCTATCTATCTATCTATCTATCTATCTATCTATCTATCTATCTATCTATCTATCTATCTATCTATCTATCTATCTATCTATCTATCTATCTATCTATCTATCTATCTATCTATCTATCTATCTATCTATCTATCTATCTATCTATCTATCTATCTATCTATCTATCTATCTATCTATCTATCTATCTATCTATCTATCTATCTATCTATCTATCTATCTATCTATCTATCTATCTATCTATCTATCTATCTATCTATCTATCTATCTATCTATCTATCTATCTATCTATCTATCTATCTATCTATCTATCTATCTATCTATCTATCTATCTATCTATCTATCTATCTATCTATCTATCTATCTATCTATCTATCTATCTATCTATCTATCTATCTATCTATCTATCTATCTATCTATCTATCTATCTATCTATCTATCTATCTATCTATCTATCTATCTATCTATCTATCTATCTATCTATCTATCTATCTATCTATCTATCTATCTATCTATCTATCTATCTATCTATCTATCTATCTATCTATCTATCTATCTATCTATCTATCTATCTATCTATCTATCTATCTATCTATCTATCTATCTATCTATCTATCTATCTATCTATCTATCTATCTATCTATCTATCTATCTATCTATCTATCTATCTATCTATCTATCTATCTATCTCTATCTATCTATCTATCTATCTATCTATCTATATCTATCTATCTATCTATCTATCTATCTATCTATCTATCTATCTATCTATCTATCTATCTATCTATCTATCTATCTATCTATCTATCTATCTATCTATCTATCTAATCTATCTATGTATCTATCTATCTATCTATCTATCTATCTATCTATCTATCTATCTATAGACTTATCTAGTATGTATTGTATTTGCCTGGCCTAGCTATCTTATAGGGTAAGTTCCCGTCAAAGTTCTGCTTTGCTTTGCAAAGAGCCCACGGCTAGTTTGACTAGACGGCACCCTCACGACGTCTTGGCGCTTGTGACTTGGTTTTGCAACCAGACTTGTTAAAGGGACTCTGAGCAGTACAAAATCATATCCACCTGGAACCTCCATCGTAGCATAAATTTCTGCCTCCCCCCTTGTTCGATACCAAAATTGACTCGACGTAGCACTTTTTGCCTCCCATTCGCTTCCGAGCGCTTTTTGACGATTCGGGCAAAAATCCAATTCGGCCGTGTTTTCTTCTTCCCCATGGTCAAGTTGCCGCCAAAACGGGCGCACACATGTGCAAAAAAAGTGCAAAACGAGCGCAAATCGGCGCAAAAAAAGCGCAAACGAGCGCAAATTCAAAAAATGCTACGAATCGCAGGTAGAAATTGCATTTGCGCGGATGTCTCGAGCACTTTCCGTTACAACGAGCGTTTTTTTGAGAAGAACGTGTCACGAGCAAAAATATTTCGTGGCAAAAATTAAGGTATATGGAGGCTCCAGGCATAATGTGTTGTGGTTCCTCGGATGGGGCCTGGTGCAACCCGAAGCGTAACAGTCACATACAGCACTTGCCAGTTTCTTTGAGCCCGAGCTTGCGAAAGTCGGAAAAAGCGCTGTCGCGCCAGGCCAAGGAGGAGTTCTCTCAGTGGTACGGTGTCAAAGACCCCAGCAGCGGCAAAGACTACTACTGCCACGCCCAGACAGGGGACACTCCGATTGCAAGGCTCTTTTTTTTGTGTGTATGCCTCTGTGTTTTGTCTATGAAGGTCCGTTCCGCTGACAAAAGATGCGCGGCTTGCCGCTCTCGTTTTTGTTTGTTGACCTGGCTTCAAGGATCAAGAAAGGGGCTTCAGCAGGTGCCCGTTGTCAAGTCAGGAACCTATATGTGTCTGACAACAAGGCAACCCTCAGAATGGCGGGTTTTCTTTGGAATCCCTTTGAAAACCACCCCCAAAAAGGGTAACAGCTCCAAAAAGACAGAGCCGTCGATGTGATATAGGGGGCCGGAAGTTTCCTTGGCAGGCGTGGTGATGCCACAAGTATATCTATCGCACACAAAGCAGTGGAAATTCCAGCTCTCGCGATATCAATTCTGAGGGTCGTGTGACGTTGGGCTCGAATCTCTTTCCAGGGTTTTGTGATATTGGGTTTGGTTTCTTGGCATATGCCTGTAATCTTGCTGGTGCTCAGTAGGGAATGTGGGAATGAACCGGATTCCCTTCAGGGTCCCAGGCCCCTTTCCTTCGTCCCAGGACACCATGTGGGAGCACCCTGCGGAAGTGCTGCTCCCCGCGCACTTCCTGAAGCTCAAGAGCGCGGACCGGCTCATGGACGAGGCGCCGACACGTGTGTGCTTCCTTTTTTTCATGGGGCGGCTCGGCCTTTTTTCGCCGAGGTGTCTTGCTGGTTTTTAGATCCCCGGCCAGCGATTCTTTTTGGGGGTCCGATTCCTAAAACCGAGCCACTGAAACGAAGAACTCGGCAAAGTGACTGCCACCACTGCAGCCACCGTGGTCCGGTGAGTCGGGTGAGGCCTACCTCCAAGATTTGGCGGACTTGGGGAACACGCTGAACGCCAGCATGGGCAGGCCGCTCCGTTCGTTTGGTCAGATGGCTTTCCATCTGGGCGCTGCAAGAAATTTCAGGGCCGCTTTCTACATAAGCACACTCCATGTCCTATGTGCTCAAGCTGTGGAATTCCCATAGGTATCACGGAAAGCGGCATCCATTCTCACCATCTATTCAGCAGACGGAACACCAGCTGCTTGAAGGGGAGCCCAAAGACAACCACGTGGGAGAGAGGTTCATGCTGGTATCAGTTGGGGATGCCGGGATGCCCATTCTCTGAGCAATAAAGAAGTAAGCATCTTTTCACATCTGCCCAGTCGGGAATGACCCAGGCTTCTGGATTTTTCCTAGGGATGTCCTCAAATTGGAAGCCACAAGGCATGGTTTTTCTTTCGGGGTCATGCCATTTCTCATTCCCTGCATCTCTCGCACCAATGAGTCTTGGCTTTTCTTCTGTTTGAGGGTCCAGGCCATTTTTTTCGTTCCAGGACACCATGTGGGAGCACCAGCTCTTCTCACAACAGCTGTTTTTCTTTTGCCCCTCTTGGTTTTAAAGGGACCTGTTTTCACCGGCCAGATGTTTCAACCATCTTTTCCCCGAGGGCTTCCAAAAAAGCAACCTTTTTTTTCACGGACAGATGCGTCCCATCTTTTTCCCAGGGGCTTCCGTATAAAACAAGAAGAGAGCAGAACGCTCTTGGCCGGATGTTTCCCATCCTTTCCCCGGAACCTTCCAACAAACAAATAAGTAAATAAAACAAATAAATAAATCAGTACATAAACAAATAACTAGACAAATAAAACAAGATGCCTATGGGACACGTGGGACATGTGTCGCGAGGAGTTGGAACAGCATGAAGCGCACCTTGGAGTCGAGCTCCACGGGCCTCCCCGGCTCCATTCCGCTGGAGCCCAGCTCCGATGCCCACCAGGCCATCAAGGCGAGGGGCGGGGGTCTGGGGCGGCGAGGGGCGAGGGGCGGGGAGGACTCGAGTCCTCCAAAACCGCGGGGAAGCGCAGGGGAACCAAATGTTCGGCCGGACTTGGGGGCGGCCGGCTTTAATGTCTGAGTGTTTTTTTTTTTTTTTTCAGTTGGGGTTTGTAGAGGGGAAGAATGTTCAGCCAGACTTTATACTCCCTTCCACGGCAGCTGACGGGGGGTTACAAGAGGAACTTCATCTTCCAGGTACCCTCCCACAGTTGCTATGTTAGTGGGAGGGTGGGTTATTGGAAGGGACAATCCCAGCCAGACTTGGGTGCGGCCGCCTTTTCATTTCTGAGTTTTTTTTGTTTCGCGTGGTTAGAAATGGTGTGTGGTTTCCATTTAGCCCACTGAAAGTGAAACTTTTGGCAGGGGATCTGAGGCTGCGCCTGTTACGGTTTGTTTGCGGCGCTTGTTCTCTGGTGCGAAGCTGGCAGAGGGGCATGCGAAATCGGGCGACAGAGGTGCAACGCCCAAGCAGGCCATCCAACATAAGTGTAAATGTTCCTTCGAGATGAACACCCCGAATTGTCAACAGCAGAAAGAAGGCTTTTTTGCCTTCCCGCTTCTTGGATGACAGAATGATGATTGGCGCGTTTGTCCGGCAAAAGAGTCGGATCGGAGGGGTCGTTGGTCCTGCCAGCTGCTCAAAAGGGAACTTCTGCTTCCGGCTGCCCTGGTTGCAAGCGGACGCTTCAATGGCTCAAAGTTACGGTGAAACATGAGTTGAAGATCTGACGATCATGGTCACGAAGGGTTGTCTGCCTTGACATGACAAACTAGATAGCGATGTTCATCCCACTAGTATTACAGAAAGGGGCCATTTCCCAGAATCAAGCATGATATTTGACCCTTAAAAGAAAGAGAACGATCTCCGCCTTTTCTCAGTTGCCCAAAGTTCGAATCGACCCTTTCACAACCTTTCAGTTTTGCCCTTTTGGGTTCGCCCAAACCCCGGGTCCCCTGTAAGGGGCCCCGGCTGCTCGGCGACTCAGCACCTCGGCGCGGGGGGGGGGGTGGTCTTCGTATGTCTTCGTCAGGAAGAGCTGGCCTCGTGCACGGTGGAGCTGCAGAATGAGCGGGAGAGCTCCAGCAAGTTGAAGGCAGAGTTTGAGGCCTTGAAGCAGCGCCCCTCGTTTAGAACGATTTGTTTGGTTCAAGTCGATTCAACCCAAATGTGGGTGAGGTTGAACCATTTGTTTGTTTCGATTCGATTCAAAAGGTGGGTGAGTTTGTTCAGCCAGCTGGTGGTTGGATATTTTGGTTTTGGGGGTTGGGTGAGTTTGTTCAATCAGTTGGTGGTTGGATTAAAGAAGGGGTTTTAGGCTTACTTTTTGAGACGATTCGACCGAGGTTGGGTGAGAAACTCAACCAGTTGGTGGTTGGATATTTTTTTCGGGTTTTGGGGCCGGCCCCGAAAAGGTTCCAATTTCTGTTTTGACTGCTACTGACAAACTGGGAACTAGATAGGGGTTCTCAAAAAGGCGGGCCCCCGCTTGGATGGCTTCAAAGGGGACACATCGCCAAAATGGAGTCCCCCCCATTTTGAGAAACGCATTCCCCCGGGCCCCATGGTCTATACCTGGAGTCTCCATGACCCTTTAAAAATAGGTCCATGACCCCATTATTTTGGGTACTGACCAACCATGTTTAAAGGGTCATGGAGACTCTAGGTATCGCCTTTTTGGTTCTGTTGCCCACTTTGAGAGGGTTAACTCTGCCATCGACTTTCACCGGGTGCAGTCCGACATCGTTGCCAACTTGACTCCGAAAACCACTTGGTCCCCAAAATTTAGTGTGACGCAGTTCCATGTCATCTGGGGGAGGTTGTTCTTCTACCATGGTGCGTCCAAACTGCCATTTGCTTAAGAATATTGTTTATTTCCCCCTGCTGGTTTCAAAGGGAATCTATCACTACTGGACATATGTGTTGTTGTTTTTGTTTCTTCTTCTTTTTCCAGGGGGCTCTAAACGCAAATGGAAGCAAACCACCTATAACAAGATTAAAAAACAGATCCCAAAGAAAAATCCTTCCCCGGCGCCTTTGGTGGGAAACCGCCGAAATATTTCGCTCCAAAGGAGCTATATGGCTGTGGATCAAAACCAATGCTACCATTTTGGTGTTTTCGGTGCACCACCCATTTTAGAACCTTTTTGAGTGGTTGGCTTGAATCGGATGTTCACGGGTACGATTTGGATTTGGACCCATGGCCATATAAATCAACCCAAGTTTGTTAATAGGTCCCCTCTAAAAGTGGTCTGAATCCCCACATTTCACCCAGGTGCACTCAGGTGCACCCCCAGGTGCACTCCCCATCCAAGCCCATCAAAACTGTAGGCTTCGAGATCGCCCAGAAGACCGCCGACGCCACCGCCAGCCAGCAGTCTGTGCTGCTCGCTGAGCTCAAGCAGCAGGAGTCGCCATGGAAGCCTCGCTTGGTGGAGCCTTTGTGTTGACCTCGAATTAATTCCCCCCTTCCCCCGCAGGTGTTGAAGCTCAGGTGCTCCCCCCCCCCCCGAAGAAATGGCAAAAACAGAACGGAAAGTGCCCCATTCCAAATTTCCCCCCTCCAAAAACCAGCTGCCCAGTCGCGCCTCTCGGATTTCGATATTTCGATCCGAAAAAGAGAAAAATAATGGAAAAAACCAGAAAGCTCGCCAGGAGCTGAAGCTGCAGGCGGCCGTCTCGGAGTGCGAGGCTTGGAAGAGCCAGGCGCGCACCCGGGTTGGCAGCCGAAGGCGGCCCCACTGGACCCAGACTTAGAACCCGGTTGACCTCCAAAAGGAGAACGGGGCTAGTCGACCATGGGTTTTTTTTTAAGAAGCAACATACTCGATTTACCCTCCCAATCAACATGGAATCTGATGTTTCGGGGGATCCTGGTTAGGACCATTGTCCTTTTCGGGGGACCCCCTGAATTGGTGGGCGGGTGGTTGAACCCCCAGTTTTCTCGTTCCAAGATTGGTGCCACCTTAGGTTGAAGCTGGGGGGTCCGAATGTCTCTGTCGACTCACTTCCACTTGGTGCCGGAAGCCCACCCTCCGGAACCTTCCCGGGAACCCAACCTCAGCACTGCTGTGGGGCAGAGAGCCGTAGCTTTTGGCTGGGGGAAGCGCCGAATTTCGCCGAACAGCTTCTAATATTGGTCTGCCCCGTGCTTCCAAACACGAAGAAAACGTAGGGTCAGCGGACAAAACGGAGGTTTTTGGACGAAACTCGGGTTTTCCAAAGCAGTACCAAAATACGGGTTTGGCATGGGTTAAATACGCGTTTGGCACAGGTTAACTACGGTTTGGCATCGGTTCAGAAAAAGACAACCTATGTTTTCGTGACAAACCCTGGTTTTATCGAATTTCTCCCCAACACCCAGGGTTTTGTTTCAGACGCGACAAATTTTCAGGGTTTGGAAGCACAGGGTGGGGAAAGATCTATCGATGGAAAGACTCTTCGATGCGTGAATGTCTGGCTGGGCGCATGCATGCATGGAGTTGGAATTTCGTGTTGGTTTAGTACCCGCCCTCCCGTCATGGAAGCCGGCAAATCCTCCATTCCATGTGTTGGTTTAGTACCCAGGTGGGGCTTTTGGACGACTGCTTTCCTTTTCTTTCGAGCATTTTGCTTGGATGTTAGGACTCAAAAACTGTTTGATAATTGGCGGTTTTCCGTATTAAACCACTTAAAGTTAGCCACTTTGAGCAGGGGAGCAGAAAGCAACCGAGCCAAGTCGTCCTTTTCCACGAGGCTCTCGGCAGGTCCCCGGCTTTCGCCTCCGATGCCTCGAGGCGACGATGAAGGAGGGCAGTCAGGGCGAGCTGCAGCAGCAGCAGGTGGCGCTACAGGCGCGGCTGTTTTTTCTTCTGAAAAAAAGAAAACATATGTTCTGTCTTTAATAAATAATTACATTTATTGATTTTCGCATGTTCTCACTTCCTGCCTAGGTCCCCCAGCAGTGCCCTTTCTCATTCTTTCTCACCCTTTTTTGGTCAGGAGAGTTCCCCTACTAAATAAAATAGACTACAGAAAATACAGGGTACCCTCATTCCTGGAGGGCAGTTGTTTTTCTCATGTTCTCACTTCCTGAGTTCACGGTCTGCAAAAGTGTTGGAAAGACCGGCCTAGTGGTAAACACACTCGGGAAGTGAGTGATTTTTTTTGGGGCGCCTTGAAGGCTGGTGGGCTTATGGGACCAACAGGAAAACCGCAGTTTTCTTGTTCAGGGGGGACATCAGCAGGTTGGGCTTGTCTTAGAGGGACACCAACAGGGAAACCACTCAACGTGTTTTTGTTGGTGGAGGGGGGAAAAGGTCCGAATTCCCGACTTCGACGCAATCACAGAGAGTTTTTTTGTTGGTTTGGGTGTTCCTTCGGTTTACCATTGCAACGGGGTTGGCACTTGTCTCGCCGAGAGGATTTTGAAATGGTCAAAAAAGAGCCAGGTCGGGAGCCAGGTAGGGACCCGTGCTGTCGTAAAGGATGGCTTCGAACGGAGACCAACATGAAACCAGTAATTTGGAGGAATCCGAGTGCCAAGTGTTGCCTTGACGGAGGTGTCCCGTCGGTTGCGTTTTGGAAACCAAAATAATAGGCTTCCCATTTTTTGTTTGGGACACCCCCATACTAACAAACACACTGTCCATGAGGCAGGCTGACCCTGTAAAACTAGTTGCATTGATTTGCAACGGACACAGTATTCCTATGACTTGGAGCCGCTCGCCCTGCTGAATTTGTATTTTTCACCAAGATGTGTGGTCATGAAGGCCCTGGGGCTGGGCTCAACGAGTCTAGGCAAAATCGTCCGTTTGGGGTCGCTTTTCTTCGCTACGTTTGGCCACATCGGTGATGAGCAGAGACACGTCGGCTCACCTTCATGAGCCTCATTCAGTCGAAGATTTCGCAACCGTGCGCTTTGACCCTAGGGCCAACTTACATCCCACAAATGGACCACCCAATTGGCCTTATCCATTTGGGGCCTTATTTCGGGATGGATTTTGGGGTATGTTTTTTTGGGGTATGCAAGTCTGCCCCTAGGAACCAGTCTCGAAGCTAGGGTTGAACACAAGCGCAATTGTTGTTTTTCTATTCGAGGGAGACCAGCCTGAATCCAGCGGTAGCTTATTGTCCTTGAGTTGAGCGTGTGTGTCTTTTAATTCACCACAAGCTGTCCTTGATTTTCCAAACTGGACGGTTATGGCGACGGCAGCGACTGGAGTTTTCTTTCCTCGGGAGGCAAGTTCGTATTTCAGGAATCCATTCACTTGCCAAAAGTTGTCCAGTTCTTCAATATTCCATTTCGAGCTGGTAGATCATTACCAAACAACGGGGGTGTCGGGGTTTGAGGTCTGACTGTCCTGTCCAAGCAATGTCCAAGCCTACGTGTCATTCTCCTTTTAGACAAAAGTCTACAGAGGTCAGCTCCGACAGGGAGCTACACCAGAACCTGGGCCACGATGGTAATGGGGCGTATCCTACAACATCCAAAGGAACACAAAATAAGCAACACGTGGATTCCGGATATGTTTGCATCTATTAAAACAGGTTATCCTCGTATGTTTGGTCAATGGATGCAGATCTCCGGAACCCAAATGGTTGTACCCTCCTGTCTACTAACATAGACCCCACCAGAGGGTCCATGTTTAAAGGACATTGGACAGGGTTTTATAGGCTTATCAACTGTGTTTCATGGATGCAAATCTCTTCTGGACCCCAAATGCTATGTATAGGACGCCGTGTCGATTCTTCTCTTGGTTTCACCCCACCCGAAACACCGGGGCCAGCGGCGGAAACACCGAAGCGCCGAAGCACCGTCGCACCGAAACAACCGCTCTGGTCTTAGATCTATCTTAGAATAAGTACTCAAACTCTGCAAACCATGTTGGTATAGGAGTAGGTGGTTTCTTTTTCCATCTTCAATCATCTTTGTTTCTTGGGCTTCCAATTGGGTTCCCAATTGGGTTTCCGGTTTTCACGGTCACAGCTCCCGCGCGGCGCGCGGGCGCCGACACCGCCGACGCCGAAACCGAGGTGGAGATGGACGCGGAGCGCGCGAAGGCGGCGGAGGCCTTGGCGGAGGTGGAGGCGCTGAAGGCGAAAGCCGCGGCGCTGAGCGAGAGCTCCGGGGCCACGGAGAAGGCCAAGGCGGAGATCGAGGCGGGGTGGGGGAGGGGTGGGGAGGGGAGGGGAGGGGGGGAGTGTGTTTTTTTTTGGTGGGGGGGTGGGAGGGTTTTGGTGAGGGGACGGGAGGGGGAGGGGTGGGTGGGTAAACAGCTCCCTTTGGTTGGTTTTGGCTTTGCTAAGGCTCGAGCTACCAGGAGTTCTGCAAGTGGTCGACCCCTGGAGATCTCTCTTTGTGGTAACCCATGTTGCCCTTTTATGCGGATGAAGAGTTTCGAGTCGGGAGTCGGGTTGGGGGGTCATTGGACGGAAATGGGGTACTGAAAAAGCGTTTTTGGTATCTGAGTCGTACCCCGCAGTTTGTTGCATGCGCACCCATTTTGAAGAATGGAGTGGGGGGAGGAAATTTTGACTGGAAGGGAGCCGTCACGGAGCCGGGGGTATCTAAATTTGCCTTTCAATCCGGAGCCTTTCGGAGCTGCGAGTTCTGCAAGCACATGGTCGGCCCCCTGGAATTCTATTGGTCTCATTTTTGCTGGGACCTGTCTAGGTCCCCCGGTAGTGCCCTTTTACCCTTCTTTGGGGGAGGATTTCCCTACTAAAAGGGACAAAACCGAAAAAAGTTGGTACCCTTCTAACCTCTCTACTGGAGGACCTAGAGATGAATGGAACTGGGTTTGACGAGTGCTGAACTGGTTGCCGGAGAGGTTCTACATGGGAGCCCACCAAAAGGGGGATGGGAGGGCCCATAGCAACTGAGGCTCTCCAGGAAACCCGAAGAAACCCGTTTCGGGATCCCAAAAGACCCGAAACCGGCTCTACACACTTTCCAATTCCCCTTGTGCCTAACCCCCTTCAGGCCCCTTAAGGATGCGGGGTATGCGTCAAACTTAAACCAACAGGGGGCAAAGGTTTTTGTCCGTTCCAGTCACCGGGGCAAGCCATTTTGGGGTTACCCATTATTTGACCCACAGGCATACCATAATGGAGGTTAAGGTGTCCACTTTCATAACTCCTAGTTGTAAGTCTCTGAGACTTCCATATGCGAAAGTTATAAGGGGGGTTGTCAAATTAATAGACAGTTGTTGTCTTTAAAAGGCGGCACGCATCAGCGGCACCAGGGTCCAAAAAGGGGCCATAGTTTTGACCCCAGAACACAAGTTCCCAACATGTTCCTTAAAAAGGGAGAAAAAGAACACGAATTGTTGGACAAAAACGCTTAGCTACACGAAAACCGCGAATTTCGGTTCGACCTCTCCATGGTTGCTTGCCAGCCACTACTTGGCCCTCATCAATTCCATGGTCAATTCCAAGCCTACGAACTCTAGACCCTTTCAATCCGCGTATGTTGGGCGGGCAAATTTATGGGAGTTTGGCTCGAATCCATTGATTGCAACAATTGGGAGCAAGGTCCTAGCTGAACCTCACCTTGTTTGGGGTTGCGGCGCATCCCTGCACCATGTCATGGAAACCAACATGTCCCACTCCTATTCTGGAAGGTGCCTGCATGAAAGCCCTTCGAGAAACGCTGGTCTATGTTAAATCAGCAGAAATCGCTGCGAAACATGCAATTGACAGTTTCCGCCTAGATTTCGGAAATTCCGCTCATTTGGCGAAATAAGGAGAAAAAAACAACGTCATAAGCAAAAACATGTTCCTTTTTGAGGGTCCAGTTATAACTACCCTGTAACGCCCTTGCACCTACCACCCTCGATACAGGTATTGGATCAAAATAAAACCCATACCTTACTCCCTGAGTTCATGAACTTCAGTCACTTTTCAGGTTTAGTGTTCAATAGCAAGTTTTGTTACTGATTTTGGCCAATCCACTTGATCGGAAGTGAGATACCATAGTTCGACCACCAGGGCATTTGCCAGGGCAAGCCATTTTTTGGGGCTCTCATTCTTTGACCCACACCAAAACCACAATGCTTCTCCAAAATTAGCTCCCCCTGTCGATTTCTTGCTTTTTAGGGGCCCCCGATTGGTTTCCCACCAGGCAAAAACAAAAAAAACGTGTTTTTGGCCGGACTCCGAATTTTCCATGTTGGGCAACCCATTTTGGGGCTTCCCATTTTTTGAGCTACATACCTCACGCCCCGAGTTCCTGGACTTCAAGTCTCGCTGTGTTTGGCCACTCGATCGGAAGTGAGATATGGCATTTGCCAGGGCAAGCCATTTTTGGGGGTTACTCAAGTTTTGACCCACACTCATATAGGCTTCACTGGTTTCCTCTTGGTGGTTTTGTGGTGTCCTGGTTACCATTTAGCCACAATGGCAACCATCCATGCCGCTTGTACCCCCCTTAAGGATACTGTCCAGATTCAACCGCGGGCAATTTGCCAGGGCAACCCATTTTGCGGCTACCCATTTTTGGATCCCCACCCATACCTCATGAGTTCATGGACTTCAGATCACTTTTTGGGTTTGGACCAGTTTAGGGTAAATAAACAGTTTGGTCACTGTTTTTGGCCAATCCACTTGTTCGGAAGTGAGATACCATAGTTCAACACCAAGGCATTTACCAGGGCAACCCATTTTGGGGGCAAGCCCCCACCTTCTTGATCCCCACATGAGTTGCAACCCATTTTGGAGCTACCCATACCTCATGAGTCCTATTTTTCTAGGGGTTGATTCCCCATTCTTTTCAACCATCCTTCCTTTCAATCACCGGCTGTTTCCGATTTCTTCAGGGTTTTGATGCTTTCCTGAAAAGAGGGATCCCTGAAAAGAATGGAAATGGAAGGTACCCCTAGAAACATACCTGGAATGCAGCTGGAACAAACCTCCATGAGTTGAATGGCATCTGCTTCTGACCCTACAAACTCTACAAACTGGTTGTGACAAAGACCCTACGTGTGCCTACCGGCGATCGCCCACGGCCTTGGAGTCCTCGAGCCGCAGGCCCAGCTGGCGGCGGAGAAGCGCCGCGCCGACGAGGCCCAGACGGAGCTGCAGCAGCTGGACGCGCGCGCCAAGGAGAAGGAGCGGCCCAGGGCGGGCGGTTTCTCGAGCGGAAAACGAGACGTCGGCCGCTTTTTCGGGGGAGGTCTTCTACCCGGAGTCTCCTTCCGACCCTTAAAACAATGGGGGTCATTAGCTTAAAACGTGGGCTCATGGGGAGAAGGACGGCCCAGCGGCCGGGCGGTTTTTTCGGGCGGAGGAAACGAAAGGGCGAAGTCGACCGTTTTTCGGGTCCAGCTGGAGGTTTGCTAGAAACATGGTTCAGGTACCCCCGAAAAGACGTGGGTTTCTAGAAACCATGATTTTCGGGGTCCCTGGAAAGAATGGACATGGTTTAGGTACCCCTCGATTTGTGCTGCATTGCTGGTTTCGGGGGAGGCAGGGGTCCACTTTTTCTGAGCCCAGGGTAGGCTTAACCCAAAAATGATTCAATACCCTTAAAGGGGTTGCAAGTGGAGAAGGAAAAGTCGCGACCGTTTTTCGGGGCCAGCTGGAGGTCGTCTAGAAAGGGTTCTGGAAAGAATGGACATGGCTCAGGTACCCCGGATCCCTGGCCGGCGTTCAAGCGGAAAGAAGTCGGAGGTAGCGTCACTTCTATTCGCTCATCCGGTTTGAAGTGTCAAGTGGGTGTTTCCTCCTTTTTTGCAGTTGCTGAATGATGAATTGTTTTTTCCTGCTGGTTTCGCATTTTCTGGAGGTTTTCCAGGAAAGGATCCCTGGAATGAATAGAAATGGTTCAGGTACCCCTAGACTTTTGCTGAAGGAATAGTTTTAGCTTTCCCTGTTGGTTCTAAAGGCAAATCGATTTCACCACTTTTGATTTTTCCCAAGTGGACTTAGGCAAATGTACCCTCACTTCCTGAGTTTTGGGGTTCACCGTTTTGGTGGAAAACCAACGTTTGGACCATACGCTCTGGAAGTCAGAATAGCCGTCTGCCATCTTTTGTCGGGCGCAGCCAAAACGAAACACACCGATTTGCTTTGATGGGCATCAGCTTAGCATTTTGCACTTGAGTTGAACGAGCCCAATGACGAACAAACACAATAACATGTGGATGGAGCCCCAAATTTGGGTCTGTTTTTCCAAAGGGGTCACCTGGCAGGCCCAGAAAACACCATTCGCTCCAAATCCATTTGTTTGGACCCCCCGAATTGGAGTCCGGCTTTCCTTTTGGCCTTTAAACCAACCTGAAAAGGGTACCCGTAGAAAATACGAACCCACATTTTGAATAGCTTTGTCTCAAATGCAAAGGTTAATCCGAGACGTGTCTCGGTGCCCTTCATACTTCGGAGAGTTTCCCAATTCGTCTTATTATTGCACTTGCTCCTGCAGGTGTATGCATTCTTGCAGCGACAACACAACAGCGACAGTCAGTCGGTCAAGTGTAAAGACTTGGTTTGGTCGCGAGGCGCTAGTGCGCATTCCGTCTGCAAAAGACATAGCCATGGAAAACACGTACACGCACCCCACGCACACACACAAACACAAACACACAAACACGCAAACACGCAAAGACGCAAACACGCAAACACGCAAACACGCAAACACGCAAACACGCAAACACACAAACCCACAAACACACAAATACACAAACACAGAAACACAGAAACACAGACACGCAGAAACACAGAAACACAGAAACGCAAACACACAAACACGCAAACACGCAAACACGCAAACACGCAAACACACAAACACACAAACACACAAATACACAAACACGGAAACACAGAAACCCAGACACGCAGAAACACCGAAACACAGAAACGCAAACACACAAACACACACACACAAACACAGACACAAACACAAACACAAACACAAGCACAAGCACAAGCCCAAACACAAACACAAACACAAACACACAAGCACACAAACACACACACACACACACAAACACACAAACACACAAACACACAAACACACCAGCACACCAGCACACCAGCACACCAGCACACCAGCACACCAGCACACCGCACACCAGCACACCAGCACACCAGCACACCAGCACACCAGGACACAAACACACAAACACACAAACACACAAACACACAAACACACAAGCACACAAGCACACAAGCACACAAGAGAACACGCACACAAGCACACAAGCACACAAGCACGCAAGCACACAAGCACACAAGCACCTGAGCACACGAGCACGCAAGCACGCAAGCACACAAGCACACAAGCACACACACACACACACACACACCCTAACACAAACACACACCCTAACACAATCACAAGCACAACCGCCCACACGCAGGACCACACACGCACCCACACCCACACCCATACACCCACAACGCCGCGCATATGCAGACAAAACAAAAATCGCAGACACCCACCCAGCCGCCGAGCCAGCAAGCCAGCCAGCCAGCCAGCCAGCCAGCCAGGCAGCCAGCCAGCCAGCCAGCCAGCCAGCCAGCCAGCCAGCCAGCCAGCCAGCCAGCCAGCCAGCCAGCCAGCCAGCCAGCCGGCCAGCAGGGCCATTCCAATTTTGGGAGTTTTAACCTCTCCGGACAAATTGCATACCGAGCGCCTCAGGAGCAGCACTCGGCCAAGGCTGAGGACGAGAAGAAGCAGTGCCCTGGGCTTTGCAGGGCAGGTGGAAGCGCGTGTCCCCACTGATGGGTTGATCTTCCGGTGTCTCCCTTCATATTGTATCACCATTAACGGACTTGTTCACCCTTTATCCATGCCTTTTAACAATGATCTCAAAGGATGATTGGTTGATGTTTATGGATTTTTCACTTGGAACCAACTCAAAAAGGGGCTATGTATAGACATAAGTTGATGCTCTCTATTCTTCTCGTTTTGGCGGGCATGCTTTGAATGATTAGTTTCCGGCCTGTTCTTGTCGTTGCATGTGCCTTGTACTTGTGGCGTCATCGGAAGTCTATCATTTTGTCAGCGACGGAACCAATCAATTCGGGCTTGTATTTTTGGGATCAATGGGTTGACGGCAAAAAGAGAGTTGAAGTTGTGCAAGCGCTGAGAGAATTGGCAAAGAGTGTGCCAGTCGGCCTGGTTTCGACTTTGGCCAATCCTCAACTCGCAAAGAGCAACCGAATGAATGGAGCATTCGGGCAGTCACAAGTGCATTTGGGGTAATCGGACGTACTATACTCATCGGTGTTCCAAGGGGAGAGCACCCGCCCGGATGAACCAAGTGGTAATGGTAGTGTCTGCTGCTCACACCAGGACATAACACAGCAAGACATGTTACGTTCAGCGTTGCGGTTTGCTTGAGGACGTAAAATATGAAGCTTCCAAATATTGGAAGTACTTCATTGCTTGCAGCCTGGCCAACCTGGCTTGAGTGAAGGTCGTGGACATGGCAGCTGCTGGTACCCACTGCAGGCTGTCAATACGGACATCATACATAGTCGTATTCTGGAGCCATCGCATCGTCTTCCAGACTGGCGTTTAACGTAAGGAAACGTCAAGTCGCCGTTGTTTTGCCAAGAGGGCTGGGCTGACCACGCTCGGCCATTTCATCCCATTTGCGACAGCGAAACTATGGAGCACTCTGTTCAAACAACAGCTCACTTCCCCAAAGCGAAGTGACGTTTTCACCTTTGTGTTTCCCCCTTTTGGTCCACTTCTTGCCGCCAAAGCCAAATGCCTTTGCCTATATGTGTTCAGTGGCGCACGTTCCCCGCGGATAAGTGTCTAATTCACATCGAACCCAGAAACCTTTTCGCGGAATCTCTTCGGGGGGTGGGCATGTTTTTTGTTTGTCTGCCACAAAAAGCCCACACAAACGAATCAGCCCACTTTGTGTGTGTGTGTATTTATTTTCGCGTGTCCCAATTGGTCTCAGTCATTGTTCCAGACAACCCGCCCAAGTGTTTTTTTGCACAACACCCGCCACATTTGTGTTTGGTTCCAAAAAACAACACCAAATGTGTGAGATTTGTTTTCAAACCACCCGCCAAAATGGTGGGTTTTTCAAGGTGAAACAGAAGGAAGGCTGGGTGTCCAAACCGGGGGTCTCAACGCCGCCGAGGATCCAGGCGCAGCTGGAGGCGGAGCGGCTGCGCATCCAGAAGGCGGAGGCGGAGATGGAGACGCTGAAGGGGCAAAGCCACGCGCAGAGTCAGGAGGCGTGGGGCCGGGGGCGTGGGGCCGGGGGCGCCTAGGGGCGAATCAGGTTTGTTTGGTTGAAACACGGATATATGGCCATGGGTCATAGCCTATACCTCCATTTGGGGCGGATGAACACCCATGTATCACCTATTTTGATGTTCACCCGGGTACGGGGTTTTGACCCACAGCCATATTGGGCCCACCAAAAGCGATTTCGCTTGTTTTGCAGAAGGGTCAATTTACAGCAACCAAGGGCTTGGAGAAAAATCGGTGTTAGGTTAAGTTTAGTTGAATCACTGGAAAAACAAGAACCCGCACGAGAATGGGAGCAATCCGTGGCTGAACTACTCACTCCGCGAGTGCCTGAACTTTTTATACCTTTTGGAAGGACCATTTAGGGGTACATGAAAAGTTCAATCCTTTGTGGCCAGTCCACTCAGGAAATTAGACAAAGATCACATATGGAATGTACGATTGTGCATCTACATGTACCGCAAGACATGCACCACACATGTGATGCATGTCATGGACCGAACTAACAGGACGGCGCACAGCATGAATTTCGGATTGTGACATGGACGTAGCAAACAGTTCATTGACATTAGGTGGACATGATGGACAGGCTTTGTCCAGCGCATACATGCGGCGCTAGTCAGCCTCATGGTGTTTGCTGATGAGCATCATCGTGCTTGAATTTGGCTTTCACCAAGGACGCTACGCGTGGTTGAGACAAAACTGTTTGCCCTCGGCCTGCACGTTTGAAGCGCTGAGAGCATGCATCCCTGGTCAACTCGAACGAGGTTGGTCCATGCTGACTGTCCATACGCTTTGTGCGAGAACCCTACCTGTGTTGGCACGACGGTCAGGCTATTTTGAGAGGCCTGACTTGCGACGGGCGAAACATGGGCTTGGCAGTTTGGCCATTTGATGGGACTAATGCTGACGCGTATTTGCACCCATTCTTCTAGGGGTTGATTCGTGTTCCATTCTTTTCAACCATCGTTCTTTTCAAAAACCAGCTGTTTCCCCTGGGGTTCCGCTGGTTTTCTGGAAAGATTCGGATCCCTGGGTTTAGAATGGCAATGGAAGGTACTCGAATTCTGCGTCTGTAGCATTTGCTCAGGGCGCCGCTGTGTTGGAGCAGAAGAAGGAGGTGGAGGGGCAGCTGGCGCTGGAGAGGTCCCGCACCCAGCAGCTCCTGGCCGAGAAACAGAACCTCGAGAGCCACGCCGCCAAGAAGTTGGACCCCGAGGAAGCGGAACGCCGCCCGGCCGGAGCGTGGCCGAGCAGTCGTTGCAGTCGTTGGGCCGAAAAGGCGAGGGTCTGAAACCAAGAGCTGCCCTCACCTTAGCATGCGACAGATGGAGGGGCTCCTTAAAAGATCTCCATGTTGCAACCATTTGACACATGTTGCTTTTTTCACCAAAATAAGGGGAAATTATGATTGACAAGGCAATGTTCAGGTGTATAATGTAAGGATCCCTGTTGATGCAGGTTTGCTTCACTTGCGGCCTGGGCCACTTTGGAAAGGTGTTTCAAGGGAGGCCAAGCGGAAATCAACCATTTCCAGGGGCCTTGAATGGAGGAAGCGTGGGGATCGCCGGCTTAGAAACCCCGCCCAACAAAAGCGCTCCATGCACATGTAGGTTGATAACTGCAGTTCGAAAGCTGTACATGATGGGTTGGGCACGGGCCTAGGGGCACGTAGTTGTTTAATTGGACAGTATTGCAAGTGAACCAGCAACATTTGACTGCAGCACTCTGATAAATTATGGTAAATTCATATTATTTATGTTCTCATTATATCGAGTTGCCCTTGTGCTCCTTCTCTCCATATTAGGGCATCCGCCTCACCCAACTTGCCAAGAGAAGCGAGTGCCCCCTTTTTTCTGTTGCCACCAAGCAGATTTTGGTGGTCGCAGACCCTTTCAATTTCCTTAGCCTGTACATCGCTTTGTATGTGGCAATTCACGAGAGTGGCATGTGTCTGCAAGTTGGCTTGCCTTGCCTCCTTTCGGCGCTTACATTGGTGCTGTTTGTAAGTGAGACTACAGGCAAACAGTTGTGCGTCATGGCCTGCAATGTGTGTTTGTCTTCCCATCCAAAGACGTCTACACACTCGGACGGTCGGACGTAATATAACTTCTTTAAACAAGCAAGCTGCAATTTGAGAGACTCTCGGGTTTCACTTGATGCTTTGCCTTTTTTCCCACATGCTTCCACTTGACATGGTCTAGGATCTTGCCAATTGCAGCTTTGGGCCTTCAGAACCGCCCAAACGCTTCAGAACCAACCAACCACTTCAAGCATCCATGTCCCGGCTCCCAAAGTCTGAATGCTGAGATGCATCCTTCGAATGTATCCCAGAACCACTTGCCACAACAAAGATAGTGATTTGTGAGGCAAAGTCTTTCAATTCTTTGTCCAAGCGAAGCAGTCATTCCGGGTTTGGGTGACTCTGGGTCGAGCTGGTCACTGTGACCGGGCTCACTGCCTTGGGGTAAATACCTACTGTAGAATTGATTTGGTATGCTCAAAAACACATCTTACAATTGGGGGACCTTTATTAGGACGAAGTGATTACTCTCCTTGACTGTTATTGGGTTGGATCTTTAGACTTCAACTTTTGAAGAATCAAACCCCCCAAAGTTGTTTAGTGTGTTTTTCTTTTAAAACAAATGCAGGGGGGGGTCGTTGCAGCAACCAAGTTCTTGAGGCCAGAAGAAGGAGATCCAGGACCAGTTGGCGCAGCAGCAGCAGCACACCCAGCAGCTGCAGGCGGAGCTGGAGGCCCTCAAGTTCTCCGCCAGCGACGCGCAGATCCAGGCGGCGGAGGCGGCTCGTCTGGTCGGTTTGTGCGTCTTCGGCTGGGAAGAATGCGGGAGACGGGCCAGGTCCCCCAGCAATTGGTGCCAACTGGGGGAGGGTTCCGCTACTAAAACCTCTCTACTGGAGGACCTAGCAGGGATCCCTAGACGACCCCAACATGGATTTTTTCGGGTTTTGGGGTTGGTTTCCCCACCATCCCGAAAAATGGTGCCTTCACCAAGTAAACTCGCTTGGACACAAACAAACGCGCTTGGAGAAATGAGGGACTTGGACGAATGGGATATTGGATTTCCTGTTCGTTTCCCTGGCACCATCCCAAGAATGGTGCCACACACCCACACCCACGTTCGCACACTTCCCTCTTGAGCCAGATCAAAAGACCAATCGATTGTGAGCTTGCTTGGGCGATGTTTTCGGAAATCTGTTTGGAGCCCTGCGAGTTTTGCTTTTTTCCTGGGCCCTTGAAGCGGTCGCGGTGGGCTTTAAGCTCTCAACATGACCTGTTGGGAGCTGGTGGTTTCCCTCTAGTTAGAAGTCAATATCCTGCTGTACATCAAGGTCCACCAGAATGTTGCCATTGACGAACTTCTACCTTCTGGCTGACAATGGCCAAAAAAACGGGGGGAGAAACTCCTCCCGGTGAGGTAGAAAACTGGTCCCTTCAAGGAGGAGGTGTGGCATCACATTTTTTGGTCGGGGGGGTAGCCTGGGCACTCTCTGGGGTTATGTTTTAAGGATCAAGGGAAGGGGTGGGCGGCAGAGTGCAGGGCCGGGCTCCAGTCTAGCCGTCCAGACCTCCATTGAACCTCAAGGTCTTCATTTTAACACGGGTTCTAGATACAGTTCCTCGTCACTAGCTTTCGAGTCGAGGTGTTTTCAGTCGCAGGGACACGCTTTGAGTTTACGAGTCTCTTGAAGTCTAGTATACAGGCGCTGCGTGCCGTCAATCCCTTCAATGAGCCACTTGCGCCCGTTCAAGTTTCTTTTTCACCTCATTGTGTGTTTCTGTTGTCTCTCTCTTTCTCTCTTTCTCTCTTTCACTCTTTCACTTCTTTCCTCTTTCTGAATTCTCTCTTTCTCTTCTTCTGCGCGCCCAGGGCGCCGCCGTGCTGGTGCAAAAGAAAGAGATCGAGGAGCAGCTGGTGGCGGAGCGGCTGCACGTCCAGGCACTCAAGGCAGAGGCGGAAGCCCTGAAGACCCAGGCTGCCAGCAGGCTGCCTCCCGAGGAAGCGGAACGCGGCTGGACCCGCAACAAGTTCTCATGGTGCTATGTTGTTGTTTTTTCTTTATATGTATATATAATTACTATGTGTTTTTGGAGATATGAATACTCACAATCACATTTGTTGCATGTACATGAATTATATATTGTTGTTTTTTACATAGTTGTTCCTTAGGTGTGGGATCACACCTTGTAAATGAAGAAGCGTTTGTTTGCGTATTGGTTGTCATCAGTATACACGTGCATGAAACACATACCGGTACATCGACACGTGTCTCGTTTAACGTGAGTGCGTGTCCGACTTGTTGTTGTTTTGTTTGAATGTAAGTTTGTTTGAGTGTTTGTTAGCTTGCTTGCTTGCTTGCTTGCTTGCTTGCTTGCTTGCTTGCTTGCTTGCTTGCTTGCTTGCTTGCTTGCTTGCTTGCTTGCTTGCTTGCTTGCTTGCTTGCTTCCCTGCTTCCCTGCTTCCCTGCTTCCCTGCTTCCCTGCTTCCCTGCTTCCCTGCTTCCCTGCTTCCCTGCTTCCCTGCTTCCCTGCTTCCTTGCTTGCTCTTGCTTGCTCTTGCTTGCTCTTGCTTGCCTGCTCTTGCTTGCTCTTGCTGGGCCAGCTTGCTGGCTGGCTGTCTGGCTGGCTGGAGGGCTTTCTGGCTTCCTTGCTTGCTTGCTTCCGTGCTTCCGTGCCTTTTTGTTTGTTTGTTTGTGTGTTTGTTTGTTGTGTTTGTGTTCGTGTGAGTGTTTGTTTGTTGTTCTTGTTGGATATCTCTGTCTGCATGGGTATCTATGCTTCTCTTTGTTGCTTGCTCGTTTGCTTGTATGATTTCTTGCTTGTGTGTGTGTGTGCGCGTGCGTGTATGCATGTGCGAGCTCATTTTGTGCTTGAATCTGTGTTTGCCCAAGTGTAATATGAGTCCATTGTCGCTGTAGGATGCTTGCTTGATGCAACATGCGTTGGGACTCAAGGGGAGGCAGATCGTCATAGCTTCCAGTCTGCAACGGACAAGAGGTGTCATAGGAAATGAACTTGTTTTTTTGGCTATTTGCACAAGTTGCGGTTGGATCACTCAAACTTGCACACAACCCATAGCAAAGCCATGTGCGGCACGCTACAATCTATGGGTGCAGTACTGTTGAGGCCAGAAGAAGGAGATCCAGGACCAGCTAGAGGAGCAGAAGTCACACACCCAGCAGCTGCTGGCAGAGTTGGAGGTGCTGAAAAGCTCCAGCAACGAAGCGCAAGGCCAAGCAGCCGAGGCGCATTTCAGAACTTCCAGCGTTTTTTTTGTTTGTTGTTTTTTCCCCCTTTTTTCTCAGGACTCGCGCGGGAGTCTCAACGTTCGTGGAAATTCCAGTAGTCCTTAGGATTCGTCTTGATTTCGCGAAATTTCGCACATGGTGTGCAAGCAAGGGTCTATGAACATGCGGTGTTTTGAATGGTGAGAGCATGTTTCCAGCATCAGCGCTAGAACTGTTTTTTGTTCTTCCTTTTTCGGACGGAGTACGCTGAGTGCATTTCCACGATTTGGCGCTTTCCATTTCGGTATGCTCCGCGCAAATCCTTCATAAACATTGCCATGACGCTGAATCGTTTCATATGTCTACATGTACATACATGATACGAGATCGGTGCGCAAATGCTTGTTACTGCACACAGGAACAATCATATTGGACGACACCCATACATAGACATGTGTCAAAATGGCAGGACCCCGAAATGGTGATGCCACCTAGCAAAGGGTACATGATAACATATCTTATAGAAGATATAGATAGGAGGAAGAGGGGAGTGGATTACTAATCTCTGCCACTCACCATATTTTACGTCCTATCTTTGAGGGTTTGCAAACTCATCCAAGATTAGGACGTAGGAAGGGAAGTGAGTGGTATACCCAAGGATGAAACTCTTTGCTCCAGGCAGCCGCTTTGTTGGCGCAGAAGAAAGAGGTGGAGGATCAGCTGGCGGAGGAGAGGACCCGCACCCAGCAGCTCCTGGCCGAGAAACAGGACATCGAGAGCCATGCTGCCAGAAAGCTGGATCCCGAGGAAGCGGAACGTGGCTTGGCAAGTTGGGCGGAGACAGCTTTTGTTTTCTTGAATGTGCTATGGCTATGCAAACTGGTTGACTTTTGCTCCGGTGCAAGAAGGGCTAAATAGGTTACAGAAACGGAACCGCCCTAAGGGTCCGATTCGATGGTTTTTGGGGCCTCAAAATGGGTTTGGGTTGTTGTTGAGGGTTCTCCATTGGAGGGTGCGGGGGTCTGGAGGGGTCATGACCTTAACAGCGTGAGCGCTATAGAAATGGGTTGGTCGAGACTCAGGGAACCTTAATATCTGAAGGTCCATTGTGTTTTTAAAAGGGCTTGTACCCCAAAAAGTTTGGTACTGCTGATATAAACCCCTTAAGCTGAAACTGGTTTCAATACCGAGGTGAAACAATGTCTGTTTCTTCAAAATCACATTTGAGTGTATATGCCACTCCGGAGCTAGGGGCGTTGGGCTCGATGTCTTGGCGCGGCCTGGCTTGCGAGCTTCGCATGCCAAGCAGGAGGCATTGGAGCACTTCTTCTTTTTGTTTGCATCCATCCATGGTTGTTGTTGGGAATCATCCATGCCCTCATGGTTCTTCATGTCCTCATGTTGCGTTCACGGCAAGGCTTAGACTTAGATCTGTTTCAATCTGTCCCTTCCTTTCCACACTCTATGATTGCCCCGCCCAGATGAACACAGCGGAGTGAGTGAAGTAATGACTGGCACGCCTCAATCTCTTCCATGCTCTCAGCTCTTCATTTTCCTGCGACATGCTCTCATCCAATGGATGCAGCTGTGTGAGTGGGAAATTCGGAAAGAAAGGGATTCATAGATGAGGAGCATGAGAGCCAGTATACTTATTAATCAAGAAGGTAAGTTGCGCCCTTAAACACGCAAGCGAACCATAGCAAGCCAACGCAATCATTGCAAAGCAATGCGCGGTTTGGGTGAAATCTATTGGCCTCAGGACAGAAGAAGGAGATCCAGGACCAGTTGGAGGCGAAGGAAAAGCACACCCAGCAGCTGCAGGCGGAGCTGGAAGCGCTGAAAGGCTCCAGCAGCGATGCGCAACTCCAAGCAGCCGAGGCGTGGAGATGGGCGTGAGAGGCTTACTAAAGGGGGTGAGCTGAGGAGACGGAATACGCAGGAAGGGGGGGGGGGGGGGTAGGGCGAACGGGCGAACCCCGCCACAGAAGTTCAAAGAAGCAGAGAACGTGTATTTGTTGAGGGTACCCATTTTTTGGTTGGTTTTAAAGGGAAACCAACTAGGAATGCACCCATCTTTGCTGGCCATCTTGAGCTTTTGAGGAGAAAGTGTAGAATCATGTAGGCTTGCTGGTAAATGTGTTTTGAAAGGAACTATGGGATGTTCAAGAAAGTTCTGCAGACCTCTGGATTCGTTTGATGCAGGCGAGATTCCGGAGAAAAGGGGGGGCTGTTCCATGGACATGCCTCAGATGTGGAGCAAATTCCCGTCGCTTGAATTGCTATATGGAGATGTCTCACTTCTTACACCTGCACCTACGACATCGCCAATATGTTGCTTTGGCAAGACACGCTGAGTGCATTCCGGTGACATGAGAGCTTCTGATATAGTGAAGGCTCTACTGTGGGAGATGTGATTGCGATGTTGCCAGATCTTTTTGTGAGACGGAATCACGATCCCATGTTTGAAGTGAACATACTTTCCATGCAATCTTATTGAAACTGAACGATGTGTCTGGAAAATATTGACTCAAGGGCCCAGGAAAGTTGAAGTTTTTTTCCGCGTTCTCACCGGCACCGGATGCCAAACAGAAAGCGCGGCAGGCCACTAACATGGAACCCCTCCTATCCGTGAGGTTCCATGTTCGTGGAGCGCAAGCGTTCTGCAACATAATCATCCGAACCGAGCAAAATAGAGACAAATTCATCTAGATATGCCAACATGCTTATACCTGGATGCTGCTAGATGCCAATTTCCCACATTTGTCCAAAACAGAGCAAACGCTCATGCCTGTCAAAAACGCTTGGTTCGACACAACTCGCTTATGTCCAATCCTGCCTCTTAGTGATGGTCCCTATGCAGCCACAAAAGCGTTGAAGATTCCAGGTACCAACAAAGTATGTTTCGATGCTTCGCCTCAGGCAGCCGCTTTGTTGGCGCAGAAGAAAGAGGTGGAGGATCAGCTGGCGGAGGAGAGGACCCGCACCCAGCAGCTTTTGGCCGAGAAACAGGACATCGAGAGCCATGCTGCCAGAAAGCTGGATCCCGAGGAAGCGGAACGTGGCTTGGCAAGTTGGGCGGAGACAGCTTTTGTTTTCTTGAATGTGCTATACACAGTCGTGTATGGTGTATGGTTGCGATTCAATATATATATATATACACACACACACATTTTACAGTATCAGTCAAGAGGCCGGTTCCGCACACGATCCATACCTCGATCCACAGCTGCGCAGTGGACACATCCGTGATCCACACACACAACAGGCGGGGTGTTTGATGTTGCAGTCACTATGTGCTGCTCACTAGCTATGCAACGCTGTGTGAGTGTCTAAGATTCACTGAGTTTGTCATGTTTGGTCAGCACGTTTATACGCCATATTTGCTATGGCCTCATACCGCATGATTCGTCTTGTTTGGTGATCTTTGCACCTTGTGTTTGCAGGCTATGGCTTGAGCTGTATGAGATCGTTGGAAGCAGGCCACACGAACGAAGAAAAGCAGCAGAGCCACACTTGGGCCCAAAAGCTCCTGCAAGGCCGTTTGTTTTTCTTCATGGGACCCCTGCTCTTATGTTATATATATATATATATTGAGATTTTATATACATATTTATAGTTCGTGGACCTCTGGAGCAGGCTGTTGTAGGAGGCAGTTTGTAGGTCTCTTTGCCATGGAGGTGTGCTTTTTCTCCAACAGCGACTTCGCAAACATGTCTGCGCAAGTTGCGGTTGATTCCTTCAAACGTGCAAGCGACACAGTTTAAGGCAATGTGCCAATGTGCGGTTTCCTGTGAAATCTGTTGGTCCTGAGGCCAGAAGAAAGAGATCCAGGACCAGCTGGAGGCAAAGGAAAAGCACACCCAGCAGCTGCTAGCGGAGCTGGAAGCGCTGAAAGGCTCTAGCAGCGATGCGCAACTCCAAGCAGCCGAGGCGGGTGTAGAACGGCTAGTGGCCTTCTCAAATGTCTCGTTGTCTTGTGACTTACAAACGTTTCCGGCACTCTCACACGTGATCCTTGGGGAAAGGCCGCAAGCGCAAAAGAATCCGCGAAGCGCATGTCCACGATTCCGAGAGCTTCACATAGCTGCACTGCAAGATGACCCCATGGAGGTTCTTGGAACATTTTCCCAAAATTGCTGAAGGATCCCATGGCATGAGTTGCATCGATCAAGGCTTGCTAAGAGTTGATCTGAGCGCTGGCATGTGGAGAAGCGTCTTGCTACATGGTAGTGGGTACCAGCCTTCAAAGCCTCTCAATCGGCTCCCAGCGATCCGGTTCCTTTAGCTTAGATTTTTGGCTTAGTGAGGGATTCCGAATTTAACCCACTAAAAGTGAGTCACTTTTAGCAGGGGATCTGAAAACGGGCAGCCCAGTGACGTTAGAGGCCTGAATGGAAATGCAGAGTCATGCACTCGCAGCAGTATGCTTATATCCTCGCCTCAGGCAGCCGCTTTGTTGGCGCAGAAGAAGGAGGTGGAGGATCAGCTGGCGGAGGAGCGGTCCCGCACCCAGCAGCTCCTGGCCGAGAAACAGGACCTCGAGAGCCACGTTGCCAAGAAGTTGGATCCCGAGGAAGCGGAACGCCGCCTGGTCGGAGCGCGGGGATAATTTATGTTGTTGTGCCATATATGCGACACAAAGCATATTGTGACTTAAAAGCGCGTGAATGCAGGAGTTGTCATGTTCTGTCAGCATTTGATACGACATGATGCCGCATGATGCATGTTGTTTGGTTTGGCGATCTATCAGAGCACTGTGTGTGAGATGGATAGCAGCCCACATGAGCAAAACACCCGTTGATCCACTGGCTCCGGAAAGCACCTGAAGACTCTCGACTTTGGACTGGAGGGGCTGTTTTGTAGGTGTACATGCTGCGCTAAGAGTCTCTCGAAGAAAAAGTCATCGGACATTGAGACATGTGTTTCTCCCAAAACTGTCCCCACTGCAAGGCAATTTGCGCTATGGGGTGATGTCCTGCATTCCATTGCAACAATAGACCAATCACAGGTCATAAAAATACCAGGCAGGGCAGACCGCGCACCATTCCAGAGTGATCAAATTGCGCGAAGGATGTTTGCACAAGTTGCGGTTGGTTCCCTCAAACGGCACTCCTGAGGCCATGCCATGGCAGCCATAGACAATAACAAGTCCTAAACATGCCGTGTTTTGTTTTTGTTCTTTTCTGTGTGTGTGTGTTTGTTTTTTCCTCCTCTGTGGGTGAGGCCAGAAGAAGGAGATCCGAGACCAGCTGGAAAGCAAAGAGCAGCACACCCAGCAGCTGCTGGCGGAGTTAGCGGAGGCTCGGGACACCGCGAAAAAGGACCTCGAGGCAGAGCGCGCACAACGCGCGCAGGCGGAGGCGGGGAGCGAAGCATGGTGTTCTTGGTTGTTTATTTGTTGCGTATTTGTGTTTGTGTGTTTTGTATTTTTGTTTGTTAGTTTGCTTTTCTGGCTGTTTTGTTTGTGTGATTGTGTTTTTTGTTTGTTTTTGTCGTTTGTTTTGGAGCTTGCCTGCTTGTCTTCCCTTGCTTGCTTGCTTGCTTGCTTGCTCGCTTGCCTGCCTACCTTATTGCTTCTTTGATAATGATGTTGCCATTGTTTCGTATCTTTCTTTTGTGTTTGCCCTTGTCTTTTGTTCGTTTCTTTGTTCCTTTGTTTCTTTGTTTGCTTTTTTTCTCCCCCGATTGTTTCTTTGTTTGTTTGGGTTTGTGCGTTGGTTTATTCGTTCGATTTTGTTCCTGAAGCCCCCTTCACAGCACAAACGTTTGTCTGTGGCTAATTCGTCACGTAATGTTCATTGTCGCGCTTTTTTTTTTATAAGAACATGGCGAGAGATATAAAGTTGCGTTTTCGAGCATGTGTTGTATAATCTTGACATTGTACTCCAAGATGAACTGGTCCTGAAAGGAGCGCGCAGAAATTGAAGTACAGAATGAGCGCCAATGATAAATGCATGTCACAGTGAACAATGGGGCTCCAGGTTTGTTTGCTTGCTTGCTTGTTTCTTTGTTTGCTTGCTGGTTTCTCTGTTGGCTTGTTTGTTTGTTGTTTGTTTCATTGTTTCACTGATTGCTTGCTTGCTTGTTTCGTTGTTTGCTTGCTGGTTTCTCTGTTGGCTTGTTTGTTTGTTGTTTGTTTCATTGTTTCACTGATTGCTTGCTTGCTGGTTTCTCTGTTGGCTTGTTTGTTTGTTGTTTGTTTCATTGATTGCTTGCTTGCTTGTTTCGTTGTTTGCTTGCTGGTTTCTCTGTTGGCTTGTTTGTTTGTTGTTTGTTTCATTGATTTATTGCTTGCTTGTTTCGTTGTTTGCTTGCTGGTTTCTCTGTTGGCTTGTTTGTTTGTTGTTTGTTTCATTGATTGCTTGCTTGCTTGTTTCGTTGTTTGCTTGCTGGTTTCTCTGTTGGCTTGTTTGTTTGTTGTTTGTTTCATTGATTTATTGCTTGCTCGTTTCGTTGTGTTGGATTTTTATGTGGAATGCACTTCCCAAATGGTTGGTGGACACCACTGGTGTCCATCAGAGGGTCCCATACATGCATGCATACATGCATACATACATACATACATGCATGCATGCATCCATACATACATACATACATACATACATACATACATACATACATACATACATACATACATACATACATACATACATACATACATACATACATACATACATACATACATACATACATACATACATACATACATACATACATACATACATACATACATACATACATACATACATACATACATACATACATACATACATACATACATACATACATACATACATACATACATACATACATACATACATACATACATACATACATACATACATACATACATACATACATACATACATACATACATACATACATACATACATACATACATACATACATACATACATACATACATACATACATACATACATACATACATACATACATACATACATACATACATACATACATACATACATACATACATACATACATACATACATACATACATACATACATACATACATACATACATACATACATACATACATACATACATACATACATACATACATACATAGATAATACATATATATATATATGTACATGCACATATATATATATATATGTACATGTTATTTATTTACCCCCAATAGGCTGACCCTAACAACATGTTGGGCGTTTCCCCCACAGAGGGTCGACATATTCATTTATATATATATATATGTATATGTATACATATATATGTATCTATTTACCCCAGGGTGATTCTAACAAAATGTTGGGTTCTCCTTACGCATCCCATCTTGGATTCTCTCGGATCCTCACTTTTGCCTGCCAGGTGCAGGAGGTGCAGGCGCAGCTGCTGGAGGGGCAGCAGCGCTTGTCGCAGCTGCAGGCGGAAGCCGCGAACGCCCATGGGGAGGAGAAGGTTCAGCTCCAGGCGCCGAACTCGGCGATTTCGGTCTTCGGGCGAAGGCTTGGTTTGGACAGCCTCCTAGTTGGGAGGCTCGCGAAGAATTCTTGCTGGTCTGGTAGGTTTGGGACACAGGGGCCCCAACAGCACCTTGGGAAAATCAGCCTCTCCCTGTTTTATCATGTTTTGGGGATCAGAGAATTCCTCGAAGGCCATCCGGTTCCTGAGCTTTTTGGCTTTTTGGTTAGTGGTTGGGTTCAGCTCCAAGAGTTTGGACTTGCTGGTGCGATAGGTAGGGAACGACCCGGAAGGGATTCCCGAAAAAAGGAAACTGCAAGGGATGGTTTATGGGGGTTATGTTCTTGGTGGCTCGGCGAAGGTTTGGTTTGGACATGGAGCAACTTTCCGAGTCTGGGTGTTGGGAATGGACCGGTTTTGGGGATTCACGAAAAAAGAAACTAGAAGGGCTGGGTGGGGGTCATTCCGTCATTGCCTGCTGTATTCTTGGTGGCTCCCAGCCATCGGTTCCTTAGCTTTTCAGGTTTTTGTTTGGTTTAGTCGTTGGGTTTCCATTTTGTCCCACTAAAAGACAACAACTTTTAGGAAGGGGGGATGACCCCGCGCCCAGCACACCGGCGAAGTTGATTGCCTGTGCTGGTTTAGGTTGGATGGCGGGAAACCAAGAGGAAGCCGCCTATGTTTAGGTGAACCAAATGACATGGTTGTTGTTGGGAAACATTTTACAGTTTTGCTGGGCGCGGGGTCATCCCCCCTTCCTAAAAGGTGTTGTCTTTTAGTGGGACAAAATGGAAACCCAACGACTAAACCAAACAAAAACCTGAAAAGCTAAGGAACCGGATGGCTGGGAGCCACCAAGAATACAGCAGGCAATGAGGGAATGACCCCCACCCAGCCCTTCTAGTTTCTTTTTTCGTGAATCCCCAAAACCGGTCCATTCCCAACACCCAGACTCAGAAAGTTGCTCCATGTCCAAACCAAACCTTCGCCGAGCCACCACTACACATGTTGAACTGACCGCATGTTTACTCAGAACTGCGCAGGAAGTTGCCATGAGAGAGTTGGAGAAGGCGCTGGAATTAGAGTGGAAGGCGGGCCGGTCGACGCGAACCATTGGAAGCATTGGTTGGGATGGCCGAGGGCTTGTGAGCTGTTGGTTTTGGTAAGTCACAGGCTGCTGCTGATTATTTGACTCCCGAATAATTGCAGAGCTTTTCCTTTCACAGGACTGCCTCACATGGGTTGTGTTGAGGCTTGAGCAATACGGTAAATAATACATAAACAAGCAGTCAGATAGTAAATAATAATGTTGTTTGTATTGTTTAATGTAGTACTTGAGCAAAGGCTTGCAGCTCTGAATACCGGATCCAGCGCTTGTTTTTGCCAATGTCCTTTCTGGAACCTCATTGGCTTGAAGGGCACATATGTGGATGTGTGTGTTACGTGGGTTTTCAGGATTGGTGCAAGGGAGGCCAAAAGGAATATGTGTTTTTTGGAAGTGTCCCGCACACATTTGGCTGTGTTGGATTTTTATGTGGAATGCACTTCCCAAATGGTTGGTGGACACCACTGGTGTCCATCAGAGGGTCCATACATACATGCATGCATGCATACATACATGCATACATACATGCATGCATGCATGCATGCATCCATACATACACACACACATACATACATACATACATACATACATACATACCTACCTACCTACATACATACGTACGTACATACATACATACATACATACATACATACATACATACATACATACATACATACATACATACATACATACATACATACATACATACATACATACATACATACATACATACATATTATATGTATATGTATATGTACATGCACATATATATATATATATGTACATGTTATTTATTTACCCCAATAGGCTGACCCTAACAAAATGTTGGGCGTTTCCCCCACAGAGGGTCGACATATTCATTTATATATATATGTATATGTATATGTATACATATATATGTATATATTTACCCCAGGGTGATTCTAACAAAATGTTGGGTTCTCCTTACTCATCCCATCTTGGATTCTCTCGGATCCTCACTTTTGCCTGCCAGGTGCAGGAGGTGCTTGGACAGCCTCCTAGTTGGGAGGCTCGCGAAGAATTCTTGCTGGTCTGGTAGGTTTGGGACACAGGGGCCCCAACAGCACCTTGGGAAAATCAGCCTCTCCCTGTTTTATCATGTTTTGGGGATCAGAGAATTCCTCGAAGGCCATCCGGTTCCTGAGCTTTTTGGCTTTTTGGTTAGTGGTTGGGTTCAGCTCCAAGAGTTTGGACTTGCTGGTGCGATAGGTAGGGAACGACCCGGAAGGGATTCCCGAAAAAAGGAAACTGCAAGGGATGGTTTATGGGGGTTATGTTCTTGGTGGCTCGGCGAAGGTTTGGTTTGGACATGGAGCAACTTTCCGAGTCTGGGTGTTGGGAATGGACCGGTTTTGGGGATTCACGAAAAAAGAAACTAGAAGGGCTGGGTGGGGGTCATTCCCTCATTGCCTGCTGTATTCTTGGTGGCTCCCAGCCATCCGGTTCCTTAGCTTTTCAGGTTTTTGTTTGGTTTAGTCGTTGGGTTTCCATTTTGTCCCACTAAAAGACAACACCTTTTAGGAAGGGGGGATGACCCCGCGCCCAGCACACCGGCGAAGTTGATTGCCTGTGCTGGTTTAGGTTGGATGGCGGGAAACCAAGAGGAAGCCGCCTATGTTTAGGTGAACCAAATGACATGGTTGTTGTTGGGAAACATTTTACAGTTTAGCTTGTTGTGGTTTAGTGGGAAGTCACCACTTAAGTGTTAGAATTTAAAATGTTGCTCCCCTTCCAACGTCAACCAAGATGAAAGCGGAAGTTTACTCGATCGGGGCTTAGCCTTTGAGGCCTAATAGCACCCCTGAAAAAAATGAGGAGTATCAATATGAACACCTGGAGTCTCCTTCTGACCCTTTCAAAGTAGGTCCATGACCCCATTTTTAAAGGGTCATGACCCCATTTTTAAAGGGTCAGAAGGAGACTCCAGGAAGAGACACGGGCCTGCATTTTCTTGGGCTCGGGGAAGGCAGCTTTCTATAGCCAAAACCGTCGCAGATCCTGTTTAAGTGGAATACTTTCTACGATAGCGAGTTCCACTATAGAAGCGGGTCCAACCTCAAGGTTTGTTTTAGTCCAAGGGACCAATCGTTGGAGGTCAAAATGTATATGCAGCTCTGCGTTTGTCAAAATGCCGAACGTCGGGCTTATTTCCTCCGGGTTGACGGCAGCGGAAGGTGGGACTCTGTGGCCAACCGTCCCTATTGTGTTAATTTGAAGCGATGTTTAGTTCAAGGTGATGTAGTTGGGCTAGCTGCCGGCTAGTGCCTTTTCTTTGGGACAGTTTCGTGAACTTTGCAATCCCGTCCGTGCTTGGAGGGGAGGGAGGGTGCCGGGGGTTGGGCAAAGTGGTTTGAGCAAGGAGAGCCTAGTGCCTTTTTTCAGGGAATCCACACGGAGGTCGGAGGCTGCTTGAACAGCTTACGCATGTCGAAACAATGTTATTGCCCAATCCTTACGGATGAAGGTCTCAAACCGGTGCACCCTCTTTCGGTTCGTAAAAATGGGAAAAGGGACACGAACAGTTTGGCCCACAACCATCAAAAGTGCACAACTTAGGTTTTTAGATGTTTTTTAGTTGGTGTAGTGATTGGGTTTGATTCCTTCAAACCACAAAGAAGTGCACAACTTAGGTCTTTAGAAGCCTTTTAGTTGGTTTTAGTGATTGGGTTTGATTCCTTCAAGCCACAAAGACGTGCACAACTTAGGTCTTTAGAAGTCTTTTAGTTGATTTACTGATTGGGTTTGATTCCTTCAAACCACAAAGAAGTGCACAACTTAGGTCTTTAGAAGTCTTTTAGTTGATTTAGTGATTGGGTTTGATTCCTTCAAACCACAAAGAAGTGCACAACTTAGGTCTGTAGAAGTCTTTTAGTTGATTTGGTGATTGGGTTTGATTCCTTGAAACCACAAAAAGTGAACTACTCAGGTTTTGAGAAGTCTTTTAGTTGATTTGGTGATTGGGTTTGATTCCTTCAAACCACAAAGAAGTGCACAACTTAGGTCTTTAGAAGTCTTTTAGTTGATTTACTGATTGGGTTTGATTCCTTCAAACCACAAAGAAGTGCACAACTTAGGTCTTTAGAAGTCTTTTAGTTGATTTAGTGATTGGGTTTGATTCCTTCAAACCACAAAGAAGTGCACAACTTTGGTCTTTAGAAGTCTTTTAGTTGATTTAGTGATTGGTTTGATTTCCTTCAAACCACAAAGAAGTGCACAACTTAGGTCTTTAGAAGTCTTTTAGTTGATTTGGTGATTGGGTTTGATTCCTTGAAACCACAAAAAGTGAACTACTGAGGTTTGAGAAGTCGTTTAGTTGATTTAGTGATTGGGTTTGATTCCTTCAAACCACAAAGAAGTGCACAACTTAGGTCTTTAGAGGTCTTTTAGTTAATTTGGTGATTGGGTTTGATTCCTTCAAACCACAAAGAAGTGCACAACTTAGGTCTTTAGAAGTCTTTTGGTTGATTTGGTGATTGGGTTTGATTCCTTCAAGCCACAAAAAAGTGATCAACACCTTGTTCGCAGCAAAACGCAAACCGGAGAGCGCCCGGGTTTTGAGCGCCGCCACGCGCCCAGCGACGCTTAGACCCGCCTGGACGCCGAGCAGAAGCGCGCAGAGCAGGCGCTCCAGGAGTTCAACGCCCTGAAGAAGGAGCCGATGGCCGAAGCTCCGGGGGAAGCCCCCCCGCGCCCCCCTCCCCCCGCTGGCTTGGGGGGCGCTTGGGCGTGCCTTTTGGGGGGGGGGTGTCGGAAATTGGAAGTGGCTCCCGAAGGCCCTCCGGTTTTCCGGTTTTAGCTTTGAGTAGATCTGGATTTGTTGGTTTAACGCTGGGGGTTCGATTTAATCCGTTAACAGATAGCAACTCTTTTGATTTGCTCTATAGAATTGTTTATGATTATCTTTTTTTTTTGCATGTTGGTTTTACAGGGAATCTATCACTCCTGGAAGTATGTTTGTTTTTCTTCGGGGGACAAAAAGAGGTAAGGCGACTCTCATATCAAAAGGAAAGCTGAAGAAAGTCGCCGAAAAGGGGTTGAAACCACGGTGAAAGGAAAGCTGGAAGCTTGAAACCACAAGCATAAAGCAACGCACATGGAAGACCAGAAGGGGAACACAAAAGGAAACTGGAGCCCGTTTTAAGGAATGGACCATGTTGAGGCACCCACAGGTTCAGTCAAACTTGCCAGCAGTCTATCATCCCTTCGGGGGGAAAACCGCAACCGACTCCACTTTGCCCAAAGCGGGGACAAGTATCTTTTACCAGGACGATCCGTACCCTAAGCATGGCTGGTGCGGAGGCCCCCGCAACCGGGTTTCCGCATTTCCATGGAAAGACGCGATGTCTTTTGTTGGACTCGTTGTGCGGTTCGCGCAACTGAAGACAACGGAATGCCCATGTTAGGGTTTCACCCTTCCGAAATTTGACCCCAATTCAAACCGGTGTTTTTTTTGTTGTATGGTTTTTATTCTTGGGCAGGGGGGGGTGGTCGGGGGTGGGGGGGGGCAGGGGTGTAGTAGCCTAGCCTAAATTGAGGCGCCGCATCGGAGGCTGCTTAAACCAGCCTGGAGGTGGGAATTCGAGTGGAAGCATGCTACTGCATTCCTCATCACTTCACATGAGGAGCGTTTCTCAGTGACCTTTTGACGGTTGTTTTTTTGTTTGTCTTTTGTTTTTTCTCGAGAAATCAGCAGGAACTGCAATTCGTTGTTGGGACTGTCCCAATCCCTATTTGGGTATGGGTCAAAAATTAAACCACCAGGGGACCGCAGGTTTTAGTCCATGTTTCCATTTACCAGGGGTCCATTTTGGGTACCTTTTTTGACCCACACCCATTTGTATTCATACCCATGTCCTCCTCCCCCCCCCAAATGCTTGATTTACTTTTGGTTCCCAACCAACCCCAACTCCCCTCCCTAAGGCTCATTACCCAGGCCCGGACCCTCCAATGGAGAACCCCGACCCAGACCCCTCAATGGGCCCTGAACAACCATCGGATTTTCAGGCCCAAGATCAATCGAATCGGAATCTTAGGGCTGTTCCGTTTCTGTAACCTATTAAACCCTTCTTACACCAGAGCAAAAGTCAACCAGAGGATAGGTCAAGATTCGTTGTACCTCCAACATGCTTGACGTTTGGGTTTCAACTCCAATCACCTGACGTCGGATTTGGGAAGGGCTAGGGATTGAGTTGGTACTTTCTTTTGGAGTGGTTTTATACAGGGAAGCAAAAGCAGAACCGCCATTTTTGGGAGCGGTCCCCCTTTTAAGACACATACATATGTTCCTTGGGAGCCTCCAAGTTTCCCTGTCAAGACGCCAGGAGCCCCACCCTAAGAATGGAATTGGGGGAGGGGTGACCCTGGAACTCTGTTGATTTTTCCATATACTAAATGGAGTTGGGTCCCGGACCACCTTTCTCCCCCTCTCACTTCCTGAGTTTGAGTGGTAAGCCACAAGTTCTTCAATCTGGCGTTTTCGGACATGTTTGGACATCAATATGCCATGTTTTCCAACAACCAGATTCTGGACTTGTTGGACCTTTTCTAGGTCCCCCAGTAGTGCCCTTCTACTCTTTTTTGGGGGAGGGTCCCCCTACTAAAATAGACTACAGAAAAAAATAGGGTACCAACTTATTCTAACCTCTCAAGTCTGGAGGACCTAGTTTTTCGTGGTCACTTTTTGTCCACTCGGGGCTTGCGCGCCAATCCCTCTATCGGGATGAGACGCGAGCATAGGCGTCCTTTTTGGTCTGTCTTGCTCGCCAGGGCAACATTACATCACATAGGTTGGTTCGGTTAAAACATAGGCCGGGCGATTCCTGGTTTACCTGGTGGTTTCATCATAGGTGGTTTCATCATAGGTTGGTTCGGTTAAAACATAGGTGGTTTCATCATCTACCAGACCCCATCTTCCCCTAAAAGGACACATGGCCAGGAGCGCGATCAAGACGCGGAGGCCCTGATCGAAGAGGAGCGCCAGCGCGAGGAGCTGCGTGCGGAGCTCGCCAAAGAGAAGACCCGCGCGGAGGAGCGGCGGAGAGATTTGTGTTTTTCCCCGGGCGGCGGTAACAGTAAATAAATACTTGTAAACAATCATATAAATGTATATTGATAATTAACATTAGATACACAGTATATATACATATATACATACTAAACCAGTTCTTATTACACATTAAATTATCTTCATGGGATTGTTTGTTTGAGTCAAGAGGATTAGGTGTACCCTTTTTGCGGTTGGGCGTTGAGGGTTTAAACCTTTTCGGGGGTGAAGTTTTTTTGAGTTGGTGCAACCCTTTTGTGGTGCTTTAACGTGCTTCCTTGGAGGTTACCTGTTCCTTGGTTTATTGGTTTGTTTTTTCGTTTGTTTGTTTGTTTGTTTCTGTGTTTCTTTGATCCTTTGCTCCCGATTGAATGCCTATGCCGTCTGGAGCCGCTGGAAGGCCTGACGGCTTCATCCCAAACAGACCAACCGAAAGGCCATGGGTGTCCTTTTGATCCCTTTGGGTTGGAAACAGATGGGTTCTACAGGCTAAGAACCCGCTTGTATGCCCCAGCTATGAGGGAACTCCAGCCAGTTTTCCCAAGGTCACCTGTGGCCATGGTGTGCGTTGTCGTTGTTTCCTTTCAATGACCAACCAAATCGGATCTTGGTATGTTAGAGGACCCCGGTGGTCCACACAGCTGCATCAGTGCGCATGGCTTTGCATGGTGCCAAGCCCAAAATGCGAAGGAGGACTCCACCTTGAGTGTCCCAAGTTGCGAGCGGCCATCCAAACAGGTTCTTCTCCATGTGGGCTTGTCTTAAAATGGGGAATTTAGCCCCATTCTTGGGGTGGTTCCCTTTCAAAATCCCTACCAAAAGCGGGGTCCCCCCGAAAACAAATGGAAAAAACAAGAAACCAGTCGCTTGGGCCCAAGACATTCCAAGCCTTCGCCTCGGATCTTCCAAGCCTTCGCCTCGCAGGAGGCCATCCAGGAGGCTGCGGCACTGAAGGCGCGAAGTGCGTCGCGTGGGCTCCGAGGACCCGATGGCACATTACCCCACGCGGAAAAGAACCCGAACCCGAATTTTACCCCCTCCCCCCCGGTATGGTAGACCGGCAAGCACTTTCTATAGTAGACGCCCCACTTACAAAAGCAGGTCCAACATTAATTATCACAGTGGAGATGCAATAGCCTCGAAATGGCTTTGGGAAACAGAGGCTTGGCCAGTGTCTAAGATAAGCCGCCTATCTTTTTAAGTTTCTTCCTTGGAGACCAACCAGTAGAAGAACAAGTGTGCACCTCTGTCGTTTCTTTCGTCGGCGGTCAGCAAACTGGCCCAAGCTCACTTTTTTGCCTGAAAGAAAACGACCCCGGTGCTCTCACGTGAACTCCCAAAAGACGTTGTTTTTTCCCTTTGGCTTCGATCTTACTTCCCAGAAGCTTTTGGCTTCCTTCAAAACTTGAAGGATTGCCTGGATTCCCCAGCGAAGCCTTAACTCGTTTTTGGGCTTCGAACTTACTGGTGCTGTTTTCTTCGTGGTTTCCTCGCATCTTGACTGCCGCCTGTGGCTTCCCTGACCAAGCTCAGATCTGCCTTTGGTTTCAACCGTGTCTGTTAAAGCAAGCCCCAAGTGAGCCGCTTGCTCAAAACCGATTCGGGGAGATGAAGGTTAGTAAGGGGCAGTCCCAGCCAGACATAGTTGCGGATATCCGCCTTCTGAATTCTTGAAGCATGGTTCTGAGTAGACCATTTTTATACCGGGTTTTGATTGTGACTCAAGTGAGGTTGCCCTTTCACGGGTTTGGGGATTCGGATTTCCCCCGGAAAATGGGAGAAGTTGAATGGGAGAAGCCTCGAGGCACAGGCGCAGCTGGACGCGGCTTGCGCTGTTGAGGAGGAGAAGGCCAGAGATGGGTATGGGTCAAAATGAAACCACCAGGGGACCGCAGGTTTTAGTCCATGTTTCCATGTACCGATCGGGTTCTATATTGGGGTTACCCTATTCTTGACCCACACTCATATCGGAAAAACAAAAACCGACCGAGGCCAACACAAGAAGGAGCTCCATGGAAGGGATGTCTACGGCTGCTTCTCAAAATACAGGTGCCCTAAAAATGGTTCGTTTCTTTTGGTGTTCCTTCATGCATGTCTTTTGAGAGACCCAGCTTTGCTTTAGGAGACAAAGTGCTTTCAATTCGGGCGGCTTCTCCAACTCGGGCCTTGAACCAGGTGACACTTTGGTGAATTGGTGGTTTGGATTTGGATTTGAACGGGTCCCTGGCTCTAGTTAGGGTTCTATTGGGAAGCCCGCCAAAATGCTTGCAAGCCCTGGCAATATCATGTCCTGTAATCATTTCCCAATGTAATGCAACTCCCATAATATGCGGATGTCCCTTAATTTTCAGTATCATCGTCGGCATCCTCTCTTGGTGCTTGTGAAAGACTCAATGACAGGAAGCCAGCCATTTTTGGGAGGTTCCTTGACTCTCGCAAATCATGTCGGTTTGCTCCTTGTATCCCTTTCAAAGCAACACACACACACAAGCACACACACAACCCCATACACACAGGCAACAAACACAAACACAAACACGCAAACACAAACACGCAAACACAAGCACAAACACAAAAAGAGCGAGAGAGAGAGAGAGAGAGAGAGGGAGAGGCAAACACACACGCACACAAACACATACATGCACACGCACACACACACACACAAACACGCACACGCAGATCCACGCATACACACACACACACACACACACACACACACACACACACACACACACACACACACACACACACACACACACACACACACACACACACACACACACACGCCAACAAACACAACACACGCACACACGTAGTCGCATGTAGGGAACACAGCCAAAAGGCTGCAATTTTACTTTCAGTGGCAGTCTTGTTGCAAGTAGGGTGGGGACCTGGCATTGCAGGGGTCGTGGGGCCTGGCCCGCACCAGCTGTTTGGTTCCGGTGCGTGGCACCCTATTTGGGTAGGCTTTCCACCAAAAATAATTCAGCCTCGAAAAGGGTTGCCTGTTTCTCGGTCACTGGAACTGCTGGGATCTCTTTACTTGTCTTTCGTTGTCTGACAAAATATGGACCGTGAGCTTAAATATGTATTTTGGGTTTTGTGGATTCAGGTTCCAACCCTGTGCATGAATGTGCTTGTACATGCTCCGCCCGCTACAGACTTCAAGATCACTGACAGCAGTGTGAAAAGGTAGTCAACGGTTTGCTGCTTGCCTAGGTATCCCTTAGGTGGCCTAGGCTTGATAACACAGGTTATCAGCCGTAAAGGCTTGTACAAAGATCGCCATGGCATCCGGAGATATGCCTGCCATATACAATATATCTGGAGATGTTGGTGACGGTGGTGAAGATGCAGTTGCATCCAATGGTCCTGTTGACCCTCGCGATCCTCGAAACATGTTTGGATTCGCGACAAACTACCAAGCCACCCAGAACATTATGCATGTACATAACGACACGGGTGACGCTGTCAGGGAAGAGGCCAACACGTTACATCGCGTTGCTATGGATGCTGCAAGGGCGGAATATAGCGCTCATTTGGCAGAAACTGTGCATCGCCTGGATAAGGAGAACAACCGCCGGACTCTTGAGCTGCATGAACAGTTCGCAGAGTCCCGTGCTTTCTTCAGCGCCCAGGTTAGTCAGATGCGGGGAGCAATTTCTGCCGAAGTGAATCAAGCTGTGTCGCAAAGAACGGCACAGTATAGCGCTTTCGCACAAAGCTTACATGCTGAGACTGTTGTGGCGGAGAACTCGGAGAAGGCGGTCGGTGAGCAGAGAGACAGTATTTTGGCGGAGAATCACGCCATGCAGGACACGATCAACGGGCTGAACGACACCGTTGAGCGTCTGAGGAGTGATCTCGAAAGGGCGCAGCGTGAGATGGTGCGCAGAGATCCCCAACCTGCATCAAGTTTTCAGAACGTCAGTTCAGAGTCGTTTTTGGATAAGAGGGGCAGTATCTTTGATGATCCGCGGCTTTTCCAACACAGAATGCACAAACTTCTGGACCTATGCCTCAGATTATTCCACAGCAGAGTTGGACAGATCCTATTTCTGGTGCAATGCAGTTTGATATCAATGATCATGCGAGGCGGTCTTCGGAGCAAGAAAATAGCCGAAGTCAGCAAAACCAGCCGACAAATCAGCCGAATGTTGAACGGTTGACTGGTCCCGAGACCACTGAGGCGGAGTTCCGTGCGGCCCTCCTCGGCTTTGTCCGGAATCAGCATGATCGGCCAAAAGCAAAAGAAGCTGATTCGTTAAGGCTGAGTGAGTTTCCAACTCCTGAGACCTACAGAGCCTGGAAAGCGGCTACTCGCGAAGAGATTCGGGCTGCTTCTGATCGGCCTGACGCTGCCTTCACCTGGGTGAACAAGGTGCACGTCAACAGGGAGGACAAGAAGAATCTCATGTTAGAGCTTGGAGATCCAGAGCAGTTTGAAACGTTGGACACAAAGCTTCTTGCAGCCTTGTCGCGGATCGCTAGGGGCGACCTTAGTCGGCAGATCCTTACGTACAAGGAGCAACAAGCCGCTTTGGACAAAGTTGTCCGTGGACGTCAAGTTCTTCTCATGTTTGAACAGTAATCACTTCCCCCTATTAATAAAGGTCTCCCTAATAATAAATATTTGTTTCGGAAGTCCCAAATCCGGGAATACTACTTTTAGAATAGCCAATACTAAACCAATTCTAAAGTAGATATTTTCCTGCCCGTACTCAAATCCAGCCCCATTAGGGGGACCCCGGGGGCGCGTTTCCTTTAATTACTACGGCTGTACTACAAAGTTGCGACTTTCAGGCCAGAGCTCCGGGAGCGCGTTTCCTTTACTACGGCTGTACTACAAAGTTGCGACTTTCGAGCCAGAGCTCCGGGAGCACGTTTCCTTTACTACGGCTGTACTACAAAGTTGCGACTTTGGAGCCAGAGCTCCGGGAGCACGTTTCCTTTACTACGGCTGTACTACAAAGTTGCGACTTTCGAGCCAGAGCTCCGGGAGCACGTTTCCTTTACTACGGTTGTACTACAAAGTTGCGACTTTCAAGCCAGAGCTCCGGGAGCACGTTTCCTTTACTACGGTTGTACTACAAAGTTGCGACTTTCGAGCCAGAGCTCCGGGAGTATGTTTTCTTTGAGACCGGCAGGTTGTGCCAATTAACTAATTAGCTACAGAGGCTGGTGGTCAAGGTCAAAGGGTGCTTCAAACCAAAAGCTCCCCAAAAGCAAAGGATACCTCCGCAAACCATTTTTATTATTAGGGTCTACGTTGTCTTTTATTATTGGGGTCTCCAGTAGTAGGCAGACACACACGCACACACACACACACACACACACCTACGCACGCACACACACGCAGGCACAAAAGGCCGGTATCCGCTTGTCTTTTCTGCCACGGTGGCTGCCTCAGTTTGTCTGGCTGTGGCGGGGCCCAGCTTGGAGCTGTTCTTGTTCGGTTGGTGCTCCCAGAACACTATAAAACATCATGTCTGCCTGGCTGTTGCTTGTTTAGTAGCATGATGGGACTGCCTGCCTTCTCCCCTGGCTGGGCCCTGCCTCCATGCCTTAAAAAAAAAAGCAGTGGCTGCTGACTAGCCTGTCCACTTCCAGGCTGCCTTTCTGGCTGCTTTCATGCTTCACGGCTGCAAGCACAGCAGGCACCAGCTAAATGGTGGCCCTGCTTGCCTGAGCGACTGAAGCCACTGCTGCCTCCGGACTTTTGCCCGCTCACTGGCTGTCTCAGCCTGCGCCACGTGACGCGAAGCGTCACTGCTCAGGTTGCACAGCGTGTCCTTGGATATGGAGGATTGAGTTGGGTTCGGGGGTTCTGGCTGTCTCACTCTGCCTGTCTCTCTCCGATCGCTTTCTCTCTCTCTCTCTCTCTCTTTCTCCAATGTGGCTGTCTCCAGCTGCCAAGCTGCATTGCGCCACTCCATGCAGGTCAGCTTCTGCGCAATGCAGTTGCACTCCTCCTTGACTACCTCGGCTGCGCCGAAATCCCGCGGATTCCCTGTCTGACTGACTCAAAAAAAAACATGCCACGACCTCAATCGGCACTTGCTTGTGTCTACCGTCTGATCCCCCATGCTGTACTAATTACTAGATGCACCCCCCCCCCGCCCCGAAACTCTTGCGTCTGTCGAACCCTTGTGCTATAATTATATATATAAATATATACTTGTACATGTAATTACTCCCCCATATACTCCCCCCCCCGAAACCCCTATCTCGGAGCCACCTGACTCGCGCAACCTGGCACAAGCACACCTGCCTGGCAGGCCCACTTTTATAATTAGGGTCCTTGCGCTCCTGCTTGGTCCTCCAGCAGCCACCCAGCCCGGCACAAGCACACCTGCCTGGCAAGCCCATTTTTATAATTAGGGTCCTTGCGCTCCTGCTTGGTCCTCCAGCAGCCACCCAGCCCGGCACACACCTGCCTGGCAAGCCCATTTTTATAATTAGGGTCCTTGCGCTCCTGCTTGGTCCTCCAGCAGCCACCCAGCCCGGCACAAGCACACCTGCTTGGCAAGCCCATTTTTGTAATTAGGCTTCTCCTGGCTGGTCCAGCTAGTTATATTCGGTCCGTCTCTATGTACCTAACTAACTACCAGTCAAGCTGCTCCTCCTCTGTCTGCCTGCTGCCCCTGTGGGCCCATCTCAGGGCCTTTGTAGGATTGCAGTCCTTGCACCCCGCCCTTGACCCTCTGCACTTGCTGCAGCCAAAGGCTTCTTGCGCTGCTGTGGGACTGGCGGGACTGGCGGGGGGTCCGGTGCCTCCTCTGGCCTCTCTGGTGGCTGGCTAGGAGGTGGCAGAGGAGGTAGGGCGTCGCCAGCCGCCTTGAGCAGCTT